GAATGGACGATGTGTTCACTCAGGCATCCTACTGCGCACACACGTCAAAACGTCGCGGTGGACGAGCTGCTGTTGAGATTGAGGCAGCGAAGGGGAAAGGCGTCGAACCGGCTGTGGGCAACGACGGATACGTGGCAGGCGAGAAGACTGCGCAAACAACGACGGGATCACACGAGGACAACACACGAGCTGTGTGAAGCATCTAGTCGTTTTGCCAGAGGCAGAGCCTCTATTCAAATTTCAACGGGTATGAAGTCGATGCATTGGCAAGCACTAGCTATATTTATCGTGCTGCCCTCAGGGTAGGCACTTGAATGTGTGTTCTAATCAATTATTATTGTCTACAAGCAAGTGACCTCTTCCTGAACATGATCACGACGTGCCTCTTGTCTGCTGCCACGTAAAGACGATAACTCTCTAGACCTTTCTCCCAAACTACTCAGTGTCCTGTTTCTAGGCTCTGAGTTTCGTGACAAGATTGTGTCACTCTATCGAGACCCCCGCGAGAGCTTCTTCAAGCTTGTTTTAGGACTCAACCCCGTTATTGGAAGATACTTCTTTATTCATTCCATCTACACGGTCATGCTCACCCGAAGAGACAAGAGTCCCAGCAAGTGCCAATACATTCTTGATCAACTCGCGCACTTCGTTTATCTCGGTTGCAAAGTCTTTAAGGTCTTCAGATGCTCGTCACTGTCACTCTTGACTTTGCTTGGCGTGGATACTTGGTATCCTTGAAAGTCCGCTCTGGGTGCGCAAGTCGTTGACCTTCTAAGCCAACGTCACCAAGAGACACTAGAAATTGGAACAATCATCAACCGTTGTGCCAGAATTGTCTTGTTAGCCATGATTAGTGAATGGCAGGAGGCACAGTTATGTTTTGAACTTCACTGTAGCAATGATGGTGATTGCTTTGCAGCCAAATAATGAGAAGTGTCGATATCAGTGGTACATTGTAATCGTACTATATGTAAATCCCAAAGTGACAGCACCCACCTCAGAAGCAGAGATGCCAGGTGCCCCACAACGTCACAGGGCTCAAGCCTCATCAATGTCGTCTGGTACAATTACCCTTGGACGGGCCTTTCTGAGTCGTAAAGCTATCCGTCACCCCAAGGTCACGAATACGTCCCACGAGAAGCTCGAGGATACGATATCCCGAGCCAGCAGAGTATCCCGGGAGCTCATGACCGGCCAACTGCACCTCGTAGTACGTGACGCCGCGCTCATAGCCCCACTGGCCCACCGTACCGGATTCGCTGAGACGACCGTTGTTGTATTCGGGATGGAAGGGCACGTAGAAGGTCTGGTCCTGCGGGTAGCTCTGGAACCCCTGGGCGCCGTTCCACGTGACGTTCTGCAGGGCAAAGAGGGTACCATTGGGGGGTAGGAGGAAGTCGAGGCGGCCGACACCGATGATGGTGTTGTTGGTGTGCTCAATGACGCGCTTGAGAACGTCGTTCTGAGCGGGTGCGAGAGAGGTGTCACTGGCTCGAGAAGACGAGTTGCCGCCGCCGAAGACGTTGTTGGGAGTGCACTGGAACCAGTCGACGTCGGGGGCGTTCAGAGCCTTCTTGACGTCTGTGCGATTGAAGTACACTTGGGCACCGGGGGGCGCATAGTCGCCCTGGGACAAATGATCAGTATTTTCTCGGTTAAACTGGTTGGCAGCAATGTCTTACCTCGTTGACAATGCCGAGCTGGGAAATTTTGAAGGGGCACGTGTCGGTTATGTGATAGATGTTGAAACAAGGATTTTGCTCGATAGCTGCCTGATATGCGTAATCAAAGATGTCGCAGGTGTAGTTGCCGGTTGTGTCCGCATAAGGGTCATCCAGGACTGGGAAGGGCCCTGGAGGAGGAGGAAACGTGCCGTATGTGTCAAGGTACGTGGAGTAGTTGCAGTACTCATGTGTCCACCGCAGAGCATCAAGGTACGAGTCGTTGAGGTAGAGAAGATTCTGCCAGTACTCGATGAAGGGGAAAATGACAGCCTGCTGCTGAAGTGCACTATCGCCGAGAATGGGGTCGTTGATAGCGACTCCGCCGAGCTTATAGTAGGTGTCGTCAGCTGCCGTGATGAAGGCGTCTGCTATGTAAGGAACGTAGTAGCCGGCGTAAGATTCGCCGGTGATGTACGTTGTGGCACCATGCAGGTCAAATGTCTCGATGAAATTGCGCCAGAACCCAACGAACTGCAGACCAAGCTCGACTTCGTTGGTAATGTTAGGGGTTCCTTGGCTGTAGCCAACTCCAACTGGCTGTTCAATCCAGATGACATTGGTCCTGTCGTGATGTGAGCGTGGCTGTTGCAGAGGATGTACCAGCCAAATGCACTCACAGATTCGTCCAGCTGTAAGAGTTGGGAGTGGGAGCAAGCGTGCCCTCCTGCCACAGGAATGGTCCATTCTCGGTCAGGAGCCCACTGAGCGAGCTACAGCCAGGACCACCATTCAACCTGAGACGATGATATTAGTTACGCTCAGTTGGCGTAAGGCACCGGGCTTACCAAATGACGACTTCATCGCCTGCCTGGGGGTTCGTGGAGGGGAAGAACCAAAAGTAGAGTTCTCTCTCCTCGTCAGGCGACTGGGAGATGGGCAGTAGACCAGCGTACGACTCGCCAACGTCAAATGTGACCTCCGGAATGGCAGTGCCATCGACAACGAACTTCTCGGTCTTTTCGGTCAAGAATCGGGATTTCTCACGCTTCGGCAGTGTTGGCGGCAGCGGAGACGCGACGTGACGCTTCTGGTAGTTGCGCGGGAGCCCATGGTTGAACGCATTGAGGGCACCCTGGTTGAACGCTGCCTGAGACAGAGTCCCCAGAGTGAGAAGGACGCTAAATAGCTTGAAATTCATCTTGAGAATGTCGCCTGACTAGTCAAATCTCTTGGCACAGGAAGAAGCTAGGACTTGAGGGGGTTTTATACCAGGTTGCTCAGAGTGTCACGTCATTACTACCGACCGCCTTTGTGCGACTTCGGAGCCCCCCTGGGCTCATCCGCAGGTGCTTCCACATGACGCAGGGTGGAAGGCGATAGCAAGCCGTGTCCCACCGTCAAATTGTGGCTCGCGGCAACACGGCACCATGAGCTTCGAAGAGCTATGGTAGTAGTTTGTTTGTGATAAGCTTGCGGGCGCGAACCCGGACGGCAGTCGGCAACGCCCTGGCTCGCATTATTATCCCCGTGTACGCAGCTTCCTATTGGAGTATCGCGTTTAGTGTGCATGTTACGCGGCATGCTGCTAGCTTGGCGATCGTCGTGCCCAGTCTGGTGAATGTTGCATTGACATGCAATTGGTGAGAGCCCATTCGCTGTGCATCTAAGGCGATGATGGCACGACAGAAGCCGACTGAGCCGGACTGCGGGGCCCGGGGAGCTTGACAAGGCACTGTCGTCGGAGCCCCTCACCATGTCTCCCTCGCGTTCTTCTAGAAGCTGGCGTCTGATGATCCTGCGGCTTGTGGCCACTAGGATTACATGGGTACACAGATTCCAGCGGCATGTGCGGCGTCTCATGTGCTTGTACAGCGCCTTGGTCTTGATTGACCAACTTGATCAATCACAACCGCAAATGCAATCTGCTGATCACTGCCAGCCTGTCCTCGCTGTCAACCCAACGACCTATCAGACAAAAGCGAGGAAGTCCAGTACCATTTATCGACTACCCAGTCTTTCTGCTCATGCGACCCGTCAGTCAAGGGGGCTGGTAGTACTTCATCAGTTTTGGCAACCGAATGTGTTGGTGAACAATGTTGAGGCAGAAGCCACAGTGTGAGACTCGCTCGTTGGCGTGATCATCTCAGTGGTTGTTTCGAGTGTTCCTATGACACTCAATAGCCCTACAATGCTACCTTCAGAAGCGCCAAGAAAATTGGATGCTGCCATCAATTGAGAAACTTCAAGATAAGATTCTCCACCTCTCTCGGTTTCGTTTGGGTCTGGATCATGATCGTCCCCGGGTAGGTTCCGAAACCTTTGTTAGTGCGTTTAATTCCGTTCAGATCCACAAGGGACGGTCCTTTAATCTTCGTGATCTGGGGAGGATTTTTGATCCTCGCGCTGCTCGACTTAACACGACTAGCCGAATCTTGAGAAAGGATCAATGATTCTTCCCATCTCCTGCTATTGCGAAACAGCATGCTACAATGATGCGCAGTGTTCTTGTTCTCCATACATTACTGGCACGGAAGCTGGGGCGATAAGTCGGAAAGAATGCGAACACCTGTCCACCGATAAAGTCTTTCCCGTCACTTGCCGACTTTGGTGATCGTGCCTGCTCTTTGAAGAGCTCAGCACGATCAGCAATGGAGATGCACCCGAGCTGAAAACCCGAAAAATTGGTGCCCCCAAGCACTGAAAGACCTCTAGGTCAGGGATGATAAGGGCGGTGTTTCGACTCGCTGCAAGCAAGGATCAATACTTTCCACGACCCTGGTGAGGCTATCGGCTGTACGAATCGACGCCTGTGAGTAGTCATTCGAATATCTATGGCAGCAGAACGCGGCCACTTGAGGCACGACGGAGCAAGTAGTGACCAAAGATCGATTTCGGAATTTCGAGCTGCCAAGAAGCGGCGGTAGCATATTGAGGCCCGTCATCGATTCGGCATAGCTAACTCCTGATGTTGATAATTATTGCAGTGCTGCGCCTTCTAGACGATGCGTCCTGCGCAAATGCGGCGTTCTACAAACCAGCATGACAAGTAGCAGCACCTTCTTCATGGGGGAGGTGTTTTGCGCCGTCGGCCAGCATGTATTGGAACTTTTGTTTCTGCTTCGTGTCCTCGACGACTGTGACAGAGCTGCGCATTTTCATGGTGTGTGGAACTTTTGAGTGGTGTGCTGCTTCACGGTAGCGGGCCGCCTCATCAAACGCCTTCACGTAGGACCTCTTGCCAGGCCAGACCGATAGCCGTGACTGTCAAATTGCAAGTTCTTGAATGCGCCAGTGCTCAAAGTGAACAGCACCCGCATCAATCAAGATTTCAAACCACCACATTCGTCAGTTCAGTGCTGTGATACTTCAGTCAACGCTTAGCAACGGAACCTTGCCGTGAAGACTGATGGAGAACATGAGATGTTTATGTCGTTGGGTCGCTTCAAAAGACGTTTGTTCGCATATGGGATACAGCGACTGGTCTGGAGATGGAAAACCCGACGCTTTGCAACCGAATCGCCCGCGCCCACAGGTACGCTTTTTTCCACTTCTGAACACTCATTCTTTGACGCACGAATTTGTCCTCGGAGGTTCTCCAGACAAATCTTGGTGGAAACCAAGATTTGTCATTCAGATTGTGTCATGTGCCGCCGACAAGACGAGGGTCAACTCTGGTCAGACGCAGCTTCGCACCGGCCGGCCGGTCGCCGAGCGAAAGGACTGGTTCCCGCCGGATGACGTACCGGGACATCGCCCGGTACATTGCCCGTGGATAAACCATCTTCACAGTCCAAGCGTGATTGTACTCTAGTCAGCTGATCTCGGGTCATTTCCTGGAGAAATGCGGGGTGTGTTGCATTTCGTGGGAACTCATGTCAGGCCGGAAATCCGGGGTAATGCCCGGCGCAGACCTGTACACTGTGACATCGCTATAAGTTCAATAGATCGTGAGCCTCAGAAGTCCGCCATGGTACTTTCAGTCACCTCGCATCGTTGTTCCCGTCCGCAAACCGCCCTGACTCTTAGACCTGTTTTCACTCGGGAAGATGTTCCTCAAACTCTCGGTCCAATGGCTCTTGCTGGCCACCGCCCTTGTCAGCGGAGTCGCTAAAGCATCGTGCAACTCCATCAAGACTTATCCGATCCCAGACGGGGTAGCACGCAAAGCGTCGTACGAAGTCAAAGTTCGACCCCCCGGCGGCGCCTGGCACAACCTCGAGATATACGAAACCCGGCACCAAGAGGTCAATGTGACGACTGGCAGGACCGCAACATACACCGGGTCGCTGGCCTACTTTGACTTCCAAGGCAGGGTGGAGGTGGCTGTCTCTTACAAGGCTGGTTCTATCACCAAAGCTCGCATCCGTCCCGATTCGTTCAACATTGTTCCAGCAGTCGACGGAGATTCGATCGCCTTCGCGTTGGACAAGCCCAAGAATTTGGTGATTCACGCAACCGAGAATGTGTTTGACGTCTTACACCTCTTCAGCAACAGCATCGTCGACGAATCTGCCGCCGAGAACGATCCAAACACGCTGTACTACGGGCCTGGCTATCACGTCGCCAATGACCCCATTGTTGTCGAGTCAGGAAAGACTCTGTACGTTGCTGGCGGCGCTGTGCTCAAGGCGTCGGTCAGCTTCGACAACCAGACGGGTGCCGCGCTTCGAGGCCACGGCATTTTGTACAAGTCGAGCTCGCACACAATCTCCGCGTGGCAGAGCAAGGACATTTTGATCAAGGACATCATCGTCTTAAACCCTGGCCACTACACGGCCCAGATTGCCGAGTCGGATGGCGTCACCGTCAGCGGGCTCCGGTCGTTCAGCGCCGTCCAATGGGGCGACGGTATCGACGTCTTCAGCAGCAAGAATGTCCTGATCGACAATGTCTTTTTGCGAACGTCGGACGACTCCATCGCCATTTACACGCACAGGTGGGACTTTTACGGAGACACGCAGAACGTGACGGTCCAAAATTCGATCCTCTGGGCAGACCTTGCGCACCCGATCAACATCGGCACGCATGGCAACTCAATTAATCCCGAGACCTTGTCAGACCTGACATTTTCGAATCTCGATATCCTCGACCACCGGGAATTCCAGATGGGCTACCAGGGGTGCATCGCCATCAACCCCGGCGACAGCAACCTCGTCAAGGACGTGCTGATCGAGGATGTCCGGGTGGAGAACTTCCGGCACGGCCAGCTCATCACCATGATGGTCATGTACAACCAAAAATACAACACATCGCCCGGTCGCGGCATTTCCAACGTGACAATCCGAAACCTCGACTACAAGGGGACCAATGCCGGCACCGCCATCATGACAGGGTACAATGAGACGAGGGGGATCGAGTTCATCAAGTTTGAGAATCTCACCATCAACGGACAGGGGATCAACGACAAGATGGCCAAGCCGGGCTGGTACCTCACTTCGGATTTCTTCCCCATGTATGCCAATGAGCACGTCAAGAACCTCACGTTCACGTAGCGGATAGGCAGGAGGCGGGTGCACTGTATATCAATCTTTGGGATGCTGGGATTGGTCAATCTATCAAGAGCTAATAATCATCTAATTCATACACGTTCCTCCACCGCCCTACTGCGCCGCCTTTGTCGCCTTGCCGAGCTTCGTCTTGATCTCGGCGATGACAGCCGCCGTGACCTCCTTGGTCGTGGCCGAGCCGCCGAGATCAGGAGTGTTGATGCCGGCCTGGCACACGGCCTCGACGCACTCCATCAGCTGGTCGGCGGCCTGCTTCTCTCCGACCCACGTCAGCATCTCGGCGGCGGTCCAGAATGTGGCGACGGGGTTGGCGACGCCCTTGCCCGTAATGTCGAATGCGGAGCCGTGAATTGGCTCGAACATGGAAGGGTTCTGGCGCGAGGGGTCGAGGTTGCTGGTCGGCGCGATGCCGATGGAGCCGGCGAGGGCGGCAGCGAGATCGGAGAGAATATCGGCGTGCTGTGACTGTCAACAAAGAATGATCCTAGTAGTGCGAGAAAGGGATTTTTGGAAAGCTTACGAGGTTGGTGGCGACGATGGTGTCGAGGGTCTCGGGCTTCAGGACCATCCTCGTGGTCATGGCGTCGACGAGCATCTTGTCGACCGTGACGTCGGGGAAGTCCTTGGCCACGATGGCGGCGACCTCGTCCCACAGGACCATGCCGTTCCTCTGGGCGTTGCTCTTGGTGACGACTGTGAGGAGCTTGCGCGGCCTGTTCTGGGCGGTCTCGAAGGCGAAGCGCATGAGACGCTCGACACCATGGCGCGTGAAGATGGACACCTCGGTGGCGGTCTCCCAGAGCTCGCCGCGGTGGGAGCGGCCGCCCTGACCGGCGTACTCTCCCTCGCTGTTCTCGCGGATGATTACCCAGTCGAGGTCGCCCGTCTTGCAATTGCGCAGGGGAGACTGCGTCCCGGGCAGGACACGGGTGGGGCGGACGTTGGCGTACTGTTGGAAGGGCTGGCAGATGGCGAGACGGAGGCCCCAGAGGGAGATGTGATCGGGAACGTCAGGAACGCCAACGGCGCCGAAGAGAATGGCGTCGTGCTTCCTCAGCTGCTCGAGGCCGCCGTCGGGAATGTACTTGCCGGTCTTCTTGTACGTCTCGGAGCTCCAGTCGTACTCGGTAAAGTCAAGGTCGAACGAGTCGAGCGTTTCGGCGAGGACCTTGAGCACCTCAACACCAGCATCCACGACCTCCGGGCCGATGCCATCGGCGCCCATGGAGGCGATGCTGTACGACTTGCGTGCGGGGACAGCGCTTGGCGACATGTTGGCGTTGAAGGAGACTGACTACCTTGTGTGATGGAGGACACAGTGTGTTTTGAAAGTATCCCTGAATATGGCTCGACAGTTGAATGGTTTGTGAGGGGGTATTTTAAACAGGGGAACGTACTGAACACGATCTCTTTTGTAATCGTTGATCGTCAATCGTCCTCCCGACAACGGCCGGCACCAACATGAAGTTCCGGACCGCAATTGCGGGGGAGCCGGACTGCATGCGGAGCACGTTGGAGCTGTGGGGATGAGGGGTGGCGCAGGAAGAAAAGCCCGCGGACAAAGAATATACCGTGGCATATTCATCTTCCGCCCTTGCGGACATTGTGAGAGGTCAGGTCAGCTTGCAAGGACTGTCTGCTAGTGAGTTGCCGGCCGCTGGTGTGCCATGTCAGGCTCCTCACCCTCCCTGACCGCAGGTGGCCGCGAGACGCACTTTGTTTGAGCGTTATTTCACCGCAGATGCATTTGCCCGGCCGTCGGACATGGTTGTAGCTTTGGCTTCGGTAGGTCCACATTCTTAGCTGATGGCCAAGGCGCTGCGATGCACTTTTCGCTTCCCAAGCTCCCCACCAGAGCATGGTTCTCGTTATTTATGCCGAAAGTCCTGTCCAATTGGTTTTCCAGGTGGTTTCGCTGCTTTGGCCGTCAAGGCAGAGACGAGTCAATTGACACGGTCACAAGGCTTGGTACTCGCAGCATGACATCCAACACAAGCTCAATTTGGCCCCTTAGGACCGACGACCCCGTGGAATTTTCACCTCACCACGTCTAATGACGTATCACCTTTCATCACTCCGAGCTGATGCAAAAGAGGTGGCGGATAGTACATGAAAACATTCAGATCAACAGCTCAGACAAGGCGTCGAAGGTTGGTCTGGCTTTGATAGGATCAGATGTATCGGTGCCGCCTACAGGGACGGGTCATAGAGCAGATCGGGAAGATGCTGAGGTAAAGCCTGTCTTGTGTGTTGGTTGCTTGACAAGCGCTACAATTCCTCATACACCCTCACAGCACTGTGAATGACTTCCGCCTATTGGATATGGAATAGATTCAACATGGTCAATCTGCAGTGAACGAGTCCCCCGTTGCTGTGCATGATGATTCGGACCCCAAGAACATAACACCCAAAGCATTCTATCCAGGACGGGAAGACAACTATGTCCCTGATGGGCACAAACCCGCGTAACCTCAATATCATCGCATGAGACTATTCGCACAACACAAGGGTCTGATATGTCAACACACAATGCTCTACCCCAACAGCAGAGGGAGAATTCTCCGCCTCAACAGGCCTCGTCCCGGGCAAATCAAGCTGCGACAAAGTCGACCACTCGCCCATCGAGGGCCCAGTCGAGGAAAGATCTTCCAGCCCCAAATATTCCCCGCACACGCGGTCTCGAATTCGAAAAGACTTTGTACTATGACACATGCTTGTTTTTCACGCGGTAGCTGGATGGCTCGTCCGACAGGGGCATGAGCTACCCCACGAGCGGCCCCTCCAGCTCCCCGCATCCATAGCACGATTCATGGTCTCCGAAGGCTGGGGAACACGCGAGTGAGGAGCGGCACACGGACGTGTCAACCTCCGCAATGACAGCCACGCGGAGCGCTGATTGAAACCTCCCAGATTCGAAGTCCGGGGTAGTCTGCCTGCTACGCAACTCATCTCCCGCGCACCCCAGAATCATGTCAAAGAAACTCCGGGGAAGCTCTGATTTCGGCGCCCCAGGTATAAGACATTGCTCATCCTCCTGGCATCTGGGGTTCTTGCTGCCCAGTCAGGACGCAGGACAACTCGACTTCCAGTCTATCGCCTCCAGGTCTCGTACCATCTCTTGTCCCCGTCATTCTTCAATACCTCCACCTTTCCCTCCGTCGCCTTTTCAACATGTCTTCTGAGAAGCACCAGGCTGCGCTTCGCGACTCCGACAAGCCCATGGACAACTTTGTCGAGGCCTCCATCATGAAGGGCGATCCCGAGGATGGCCTGGCCCGCGAGGGTGCTGATTACTCCGGCGCCGTCAAGAAGACGAGCCCCGAGGAGATTGCCCTTGTGCGCAAGCTCGACTGGCACATCATGCCCCACGCTGTGTTCCATGTACTTTTCTCAACTACGTCGGTTCCGTCCGCAGCCTTTTGACCTGATGTACGACCCTAACAAACACTGGTGTGGTCAGCTCGACCGAAATGCCCATTGCCCAGGCTAGACTTGACGGACTCGAAGATGATCTCGGTCTTGTTGGGATCGCAGGTACAACACGTGCATTTTCCATCCTTTTCGTCGGGGTCAGTCTCATGGACACAGTCAAAGACGCTTGCAAGAACCGGGCATCGCTGACCTTCCCAACAGCTACCTCCTCATGCAGGGTCCCCTCCAACATGCTCATGTCGTCCAAGTACGTCCGGCCGTCCATCTACATGGGCATCTGCATGATGACCTGGGCCGTCGTCTCCGCCTGCACCGCCCTCGTCCACAACTACGCCGGCCTCGTGGCCGTCCGCTTCTTCCTCGGCATCACCGAAGCCCCCTTCTACCCCGGCGCCCTGTACATGCTGTCCATCTTCTACACGCGCAAGGAGATCGCCACGCGCCTCGCCATTCTCTACTCGGGCAACATCTTCGCCACGTCCTTCTCGGGCCTCATCGCGGCCGCCGTATACAACACGGTCAGCGGCAACCATGGTCTCGCCGGCTGGAAGTGGCTCTTCATCATCGAGGGCTGCGTCACCTTTGGCGTCGCCATCATCGGCATGTTCACCCTCGCCGACAGCCCGCTGACGACGCGCTGGCTCACGCCCGAGCAGCGCCAGCTCGCCCACGACCGCATGCTGCGCGACACGGTCGGTCTCGAGGAGAGCAAGGGCGCCAAGGCCGGCTTCATGCAGGCCGTGCGCGACCCGCGCCTCTGGGCCCTCTGTTTCATCCAGAACATGCACCTCAGCGCCTGTTCCTTCAACAACTTCTTCCCGACCGTCGTCGGCTCCCTCGGTTTCGACCGCACCATGACCCTCGTCCTCACGTGCCCGCCCTACCTCGTGTCCGGCATCTTCGGCTACCTCTGGGGCATGTCGTCGGGCCGCTTCAACGAGCGCACCTGGCACATCACCATCGGCATGGGCATCGCCATTGTCGGTTTTGTCATCTCGTGCGCCACCATGAACGTCGCCGCGCGCTACGTCTCGTGCTTCCTCTTCGCCGCCGGCGCCTACTCCATCAACTCGATGGTCCTCGGCTGGGTCTCGGCGACGCTGGGCCAGACCCAGGAGAAGAAGGCCGTCAGCCTGTCCATCGTCAATGTCGTCGCCAACGCCTCTTACATTTACACGGCCTACCTCTACCCCAAGAGCGACGGCCCGCGCTACCTCACCGCCATGGCGAGCAACGCCGCGTTCGCGTTTGCTTGCATCGCCGGCACCTGGGCGCTGCGGTTCTGGCTTATTCACGAGAACAAGAAGATGGATCGCGCGGGAAACACGTCGGGCATGCGCTTTGCTTATTAGCACGGCTGTGCATGCGCGTGTCATCGTTTGGAATACGGCGTTCGTGGGGATATGGACGATTGGTTCGGCCGCCTATGCTTCACCTTGAGTATGTCATGCTTGGATAGAAGTACTGCGAGAAGTATCTAGAGTGGATTAGAATGAAGGCGTTTTTCAAGTGGCTTGATCCCATGAATGCTGGCCGAATAACGTCATGACACTTGCCCTAATTGTCCACTGTGTCTGTCGCGATCAGCAGTAAGACCTTTCGCTTGAGTTGACACTTGAACTTGCGCCTCCAAGCTGAACCACTCGATTTTGTATCGCTCCGCTGTTATCGAGAGATAAGTTTGGGTGTGACTCTGCATATGATTTGATGCGATAAGAATTGGCATCTTGGTCAAGACATGTCAACTGTAAATTGCCTTTGCCGCTGAAAGTATCGCTTGAAATCACAACTACCGTAAGTATGACCAGGTTGGGTCAATAGAGGAGTCAAACTGCGCCGCCGCCATGTATGGATAGTCAATAGCGCCGAGCGAGTTGGCGAACAGCTGATCATACCAGACCATCGACTCTTGCCCTTCCCCGGGCAGCAATTCCTGCTGTGAGAGTGCAAAAGGTCCACCTGCTACGGTTGCGGACATTTGCTGCCCGCCAAAACCGGACATCGTTGCGCGACTTGGCCCGCCGGGCTCCTGCTGAGGAGCTCGCATCTGCCACGCGTCTGGGTTCCGAGGAGACGTGGTCGAGCCGGCTGGCTGTTGCCACTGAACTGGCTCGTTGTGATCATTCCTCAGTGGCCTGCTGTCGCGATTCCTCTCTGGAAGGAACAGATTGTCACCTCCGTTCTCACGCGTGTTTGTTGCACCAGTGGATGGATCATCAGGTATGCCGGAAGAAGTAGCCAGTGTGGGCGAGAAGCCCGTATTTCGACGAGGATGGGCAGAAGCCGGACGAGTGACAGATGTCGAATCAGAACGGCGGCTTCGACCTGTGGAGTTGCCCTGCCCTCGAGACTGTTGTTGCGAGGTTGAGTGGCGTGCACCCGGCGGGACATTGCCCGGCATGAAGTTAGGAATGGTCACTTCTCGCACAGCCGCAGTCAACTCGTCAATTGCAGACAAACAGTATGCCGGCCAAGCTGTTTCTCGAGCAGCAATATGGCGGAGCATATCTTTTCCTGCTTCGACATGTCTGGATGGAAATCCGTCAGTCAGGCACCCACATACAATCAATAGGAACTACGAACCGCAATGCGCTTGATAATGGCAGTTGCCGTTCAGACGCCGCGTAGATCAGGATAAAAGAACTGATCCATATGGCGCCTGTGATCGTAGGCCAAAGTATTGGGTCAGACAAGGCGTTATCGTCTTTGCCCTTGGTTTTGTGGCGAGACTGATGTTTCTTGAGAGCGATCAAGATTGATCTGGCTGCGAAGATGCAGTTTTGGAGTCCCGCGCAGTAGGAGCCACTCGAAGGATCGGATGCCATCATCGGTCGGTTGAGAGAGATCTTAGACTCAAACTTTAGTAAGGAAAGGTAAATGCGATGGCCAGGAGAAAGCGGTGGCTCCTTGTTGTCCTCGCCGGTCTGCTCGCCATCGCTGTCTTCATCTTCAAGTGCGTCATGAATCTCGTTTGACCAGCGGGCCATTTCTGCTTGGACATAGCTTTCATGCGTTGGAGTGTCGTCGCGGCTGGAAATTGACTTGTTTCGCAACTCAAGAATGAGACCTCGTATTCGTGCATGCTTTGCCAAATATGTCAGGAGCTGCAGCCGGTTGTCTTCGGCTTCTACGTATGTCGAGTGTATTTCCTCCCCCGGATAGCAAACATCGACGTCATCATCCTTGATATCGAGTGGGAGACCCAGAGACTGGGAGAGAAAGCGTTCGTTGCAGTATATCGACCAGAAAACACGGCGTCGAATGTGCGCTTCCTTCTTTGTGAAGAATGGGTATCGGGACGGGCAACGGTGGAGGCCAAGGTGAAAGGCCATGCGTACAATCAAGCCACCGAGGCGGGAAGCCGCATTGAGTCGGAGCATGGACATGAGGAACAATTGGATGCTGAGTGCTGCTTGTGTCGCGTGCAGTGAGGCTGGCTGGTAGAGGGCAAACTGGGACGCTGACATGGCTTCCTCAATCGTGTTGAAGACAAGCGACGGCGGAAGTGGCTCACTGAAGGGAGTCGACTGTCTGCTGTCTGCCAGTGATATAGAGAAGACGGAACGAAGTATAGATTGCTCGAGATGACTGACGGACGATATGCCACTGTTGCTCACTCTCTCGAAAAGGGCCAGGACTTCAGGCGCACTAAGGAACGGCAGGGTGGGATGCCATGCTTGGAAGTAGCTTCTGGACCAGGTGACGAGGAGCTCGAAGCTCGGCCATGACTCTGTGGATTCCGTTTCGACAGCGACTTCATGGTCTTTCCAAAGACATTGCTGGCCTCCGTCACGAGATGTCCTGCCTGGTTGGAGCTGATCGTCCTCTCCTGGTACAAGATGGTTAATGCCTGCAGCGCTACCGGCTCTGGAGGCGGATTTGCGTGAGAGGCGGAGGTAAACGCCCCGGATGAAGTGGATGCCACTGGCACTGCCAACGAACCTTGAGGTGTCATGCCGGCCCGTGTCTCGCATAAGGCCGTATTCTCGAGCAGGCGGATCGACGGCTTGGGAGAACTTGCGCTTGCGTGACTGGTTGAGGTGTGAATGGGCAGGACTAAGTCCGAAAGTACCCGACTCAGAGGAGGCGACGGGAGACTCAAGGGCTTCCATGTCGACTACAATGCTGATGTTGAGCGATTCCAGAAATCCAAGCGGATTTGGACTCTTCCGACGGTAGTCAGAGGGCCGAGGCTAAGGACCACAGCTTCCGTCTTGCAGTCTTTGGTGGAGGCGATGCCAGGTTGGCGGATCTGGAGCCCTTGTCGCTGTTGTACACGCGACAAGCGCAGCTACAAGGCCTTCATTCCCTCTGGAGTATATCGGGCAAGACAATTGACGAGATCCTGGCGGCTGAGTGGATGTCGAACAGGGTTTGTTATTGATGTGTAACCGGCAGGCGGCCAAAGGAAGATCATACAAGGTAAGGCAGGGAAGGAATCATGAAGTCGTCCGAGAGACGGGGGTCGGTGGTGCAGCACCCAGACGCATCCAGCTGGCAGCACGTGATAGGCAGACATTCTGATGTGGCAGAGACAAGTGGAACTCAGATGGCCCAGCCAATTGTTAGGACGGATTTCCTATATGGTGCGGACAAAGGAAACCCCGGCGACCTCCCCAGATTCCCCTGAAATCCTCCCACATCCGCACTATCTTCCGTCCGGACCTGACTTTCTCCTGCCTCAAATACAAGCGCACTGGACTGCTTGGTTCTCGCCAAATCCTCCAAACATGACGGACCCTAGATCTGGCCAAGAAGGTATCAGCTTGAGCCCCATAGCGTGTGAATCCTGCCGCCAACGGAAGCGTGGGGTATGTTAACCCCCCCTGTCGTTCTCCTCATGAAGTCCCCCGATCTACCGTCGACCCGTCTTACCCCTGGTCCGGTCGCTTCCCCCAGTATTGCCCCTGACTTGAATAGCAGCTAACAATCTTGAGGTTATCAGTGTGACCGAAAGCTGTCAGTTCATTCTTCCTCTAACCACGAAATCCTCATTTGAGGCTCAAAGGCAACAACTAACATGACACTCTTCCTCCCGCAGGCCACACTGCTCCCAGTGCCATGCATACCCATCAAAATGTCACTACCCTGAGAAAAGCAAACGGTAAGGCGTTCTTCGGGTTCTAGACACGAGTGGACCAAAATTGACGCCTGTCAGGGGAATCCCGTTTGGCTACCTAACAAAGCTCGAAGCCAGGCTCGCAGAAACCGAAACAGCTCTCTTTCGAACCCTCGCCAGCATCGTAGACAGCCAGTCTCTCGAATCAGCCATGGCGGGGCCTGCTCCCTCGTCAAGTTCCTGGACGCCAAGGCAGAACAAAGTTGACCGCGTCAGCGAGTGGGACAACACACCCCTTCGGACAAGCGACAATCTCCTCTCCTGGTATCAGTCAAAGACATCGGCGCCAGGAAGCGCCGTGAGAGCAGATGGAATCCCAGTCGATTCAGCCATCCGCCAAAGTGGATCGCCGCAACCATCAACCATCGCATCGCCTTTGCCGGACGAGGCCTTGATGGACATTTCGCAGTTCACAGCCGCCGAGGCTGATGCAGGGGCTGCCATCGACATGCTTTCCGAGTACGATGGTAGTACATACTCGGAAATGGGCATGAGCAAAGCAGAGACGTTGGCCAAATCGAGTGAGAACCTGTACTTCTGATGCAGAGTTCCTGCGCACGTGTTGCAAACAAGCCGAATACCACGCGCCGCGCACGCCAAGAAGATTCGGAATTGGGGGAAATTATGGGCTCTAACTCAAACGGCAATTCTTGGACCTACTGGCTCTTGTGGCATATGAGATGGTGGTTGCTCGATCCCCAGGCATGAGCATTCAAACCCACATGCCATTGCCGAGCTACCACGAAAGCCCCGCCGCACGGCGTTTGCTGGCTGTCAAAGGGTTCCTTGAGGTTCCAACTTGGTCTATGCGATACAAGGGCCTTTTGAAAGCAGTCCCCACTACGCCAAGAACTCTGGATGCAGCACCATAAGTTTCCAGGGCCATGACGAAGGCTGCCCACGGCCACAGGGGTTGATCAACTTTTGAGTCTTGGTTTCTCGTTGATTTCCACCGATGGTGCACGCTGCGCTCCAATTCCTCTTCATGATCATCACTTACATTGTCTTCTGTGGAAGCCGCCAGTGGCAATGCAGTCTGGGCAACAGCTCACCCAACGCCGGTGCCGGCCACTTTGTCTCGCCTTAGACCATGATGGTCACGGCGAAAGAAGCGCATAGCTTCGAGACGACCGCAGCCAGTCTCGGCTACGACTCTGTCGAGGATAACAAATTCATGCCCATGACGTCCCGCATGTGGGCGGCCGCCGCCCAAGTTACCATCTCTGATATATCGGCTTGTCCATGGCCGTTGAGGGTTGGGCCCTTGAATATGTTCCCAAAGCCGGATGGCGGGAAGGATCGGGCAAACGAGAATGAGTAGGAATGTGTATGCAAATTGATGGACGGTATTGAAGCCATGTACCAAGAAGCCCCGTCAGAGACACCCTCCCAAGCAATTGGGATAGACCACTTTCAACGGGTGGCAACAGGCATGACGCTGTGGCTGGCAGTCAACACCATGGAATTTCGTGTTTAGAAACGAGCAGGTATGATCCAATGAAATTTAAACAAAGAAAAACGTCATGAGAATGCGTGTCTATCTTAAGAGAATAGTCCACCCGACCTGAATGTCGGCACCAGTCGCCTCAAGCCGTTTCTTTTTGGGTTGGGCCCGTTCTGCTCTTCCTCCTCTGCCGCACCGCTATTCCTCATTATGTTTAAGAACACCATCTCCAGAGTGCCCATTCCAACCGTATAATGAGCAAGCCCAAGATCCGCCTTCTGCTCCTCCAGCGTCTCCATCAACCTTCTCACCGTGCTCCTCCCATCAGGCGAAGGCCCGGCCCCGACGGGCATGACAAACCGCACCTGTCCACCAAGGCTGGCCGCGTCGAAGGATGCCTCCGGGAATACCTGTTGCACCCACGACTCAATGTTGTGCATCTCGCTGCGTGTGGAGCCTGGCGCTGTGGCCAGGACGAGATGGACATCGTAGACGTTGCTGTAGCGCTGGCGGAGTTCTTGGCTCGTGCCAATGGCGAGGACGCGTTTTCGACATGATGGCCACGCGAGTCGCAAGCTCGTCTGCTTCTTCCATGGAGTGTGTCTGTCATCAACGTTAGCATCTAATCTTTGGCTCAAAAGACTCATAGCTAGGTATACCGTCAAGAGAACGGAACGTCCTGGCGTAATGGATGACAGCATCTTCCACATCTCACGCTTCGCGATGGCGTCCATTGCAGAGCTCGGCTCGTCCAGAATGAGAACTTCGGGGTTACCTGTGCGACTTGTTAGCATGTGAATACGTCAACAACGAGGAGTCGGCATACCCAGGAGCGCAATCGCGAGACTCAGTTTCCTCTTATTGCCGCCAGACAGTTTATGTGTGAGACGAGAGGCATGCGGCGTCAGCCCCACCCTAGCCATGACAAAATCGACATCGCGCTTCATGTCCTTGATGCCCTTAATGCGGGCGTAAAACTCCAACTGCTGCCTGGCCGTGATTTTGTCCAGCGCATCAAACTGTGGGCAGACTTTGATTCGTTAGCGAACGCTCCATAATCCTTGCTAGAAACGCCAGACGTACCGCCAATATGCCGCCTCGCAGCCTGCGTGTCCTGTTGTACATCGAGGCCCTGTACGAAAATACGGCCAGAGTCAGGCACCATCTCGCCGCGCATCATGTTTGTCAGGGTCGTCTTCCCGGCACCGTTGGGGCCAAGCAGTGCGATCACTGAGCTCTCGGTCATGGCCAGCGACACGTCGTCAACGGCGCGCTTGCCTTTGAACGACTTTGTGACGTGCTCTACCGAAAGCAGGTTCTTTTCCGAACTGGCTACTCGCATGCTCTTCATTTCGATATCCTGTGGCGCGCCGGAGACGGACTCCTCATTGTCGACGAGCTTCTTCTTGCCCCATGGCATGGAGAAAGTGTTCTTTCCGTCGAGCCATAGGAGGAGGGGGAATAAGTAGAGCACCTGGATGATGAGGAGAGCGAGGGGACCGCCGTATGCGCTGAACGACCCTGGGTTGGCGATGAGCTTAAAGTCGCGGCAAGTGACAAGCCAGACGTTGAGGCCGACGACAAAGGCTCGGTAGAGGTTCATGATTGGGAAAAGCAGGCCTAAAGAATAAGAGACGGCGTCGATGACGAGCTTGGGGTGGTCGAAGCTGGGGTGGTTGATGGCAAGCTACATGGTTAGCGAGAGGACACCCGCGGGAGAACGTGCCAACGTACCGAGAAGCCGACGATGGTTAGGATAAACGCAAGAACCATGATGCAAGCGGAAAAAGCAAAGGCGGCCAGCTCCGACCTCGTGTACAGAGAGATTATGTAACACCACAACATGCTTGCGATGCCATAGAGCCACATGATCGGGAATATGAAGGCCGGATGGTACCAATTCTTGACATCCAGGGCCAAGGCAAGTGTGCCGAGCGCGGCGACGATGGTGACTATGACGATGTCGACCATGATGTAGGAGACCCAGAGTGGGCGGGGGCGAACGTTGTTGGAGTACTGGAGGGCTCGGATCTTTTGCAGTCGTTCAAACGCGGGATAGAGGGCGAAAAAAGCAGGGTAGACTGAATGCATGAGAGCAAGGAGCTGGTATTGTCAGCACAAATCACGACACATGAGAGAAGGAGCACTTACAATTGCAGGAAGCTGGCCTGCATCAGCATCGACCTAGGAGTAGTATCAGTACGTAATTACGAAGAAAATATTGATCATGTTTGGACGATGACGAACAGGAAGCGAGGTTGTGAAAAATGCGAGCTGTATTTCGATGGGTACTCCGCTTCGTGCCTGGTTCCAGAGGCTCTGCATCGTCACGGGTGAGTCGTAGCCGAGCTCGGTATTGTAAGCGATTGTTGGTTTCGCAGATCCATCGCCCATGTAGATCGCACCGAGAAGAATACTGGAAGCATTGTCGTGGACACGCTTTAGGAAACTATCGTAGCCATTCAGGAAAATGTATTTGGAGTCAAAGTCCGTCGTATTTATCGTTCGACCGATGGGAAACTTGTCGACGGCACGGAAAACACTGTCTCGTGCCGACTGTGGGCCAACAACCATTGAGACATCTCCTGGTTTCTTGTCTCCGTAGTTCGATAGAGTGACGGCGGACGGCTCATCGAAGAAGGATGGCTCGAAGTCGCTGCAGGAAGGCAGCTCATACGGGACGGTGTTGAAGTCCATGTCTGTCGATTTCAGCATCGACGTAAACGTTGGCGAAAATGGCAAGGCAATGATTAAGGCCAGGATATACCACCAATAATTGCCTCGCAATATGGTCAGACGCTTGATCGTAAGTGCCATGAGCTGCTGCAGGAACGTGGTGCTTGTGCCGGAGGATAGCTGGCCGTCGAATGCTTCGCCACTTATGGTCAAGGGTGCGAGATCAGACAGGCCTGTGCCCCTTTTTTCGAGCGCTTCGGGCTCGTTGGCAACGCGAAGGAAAACTTCTTCGATGGTTGGGCCGGTAACCAAAACGTCAGACAGTCCAGCAGCCTCGAGTGAAGAAAGAAGTCTGGTGGCAGATGTCGAGTCCGGAACGGTATAGATCGTCTCCCCTTGATAGACAGCCATCGGGTAGCTGGTCTGCGGAACATTGTTGACCTGGGGGACGCGGACGCGGTACCCTCCTCCGTGGATGTTCTTCAGCTCGGCTGGCGACCCGTGGCATTTGAGGTGGCCGCGCGAGATGACCACAACCTGGTCGGCGAGGACCTCACACTCATCGAGGAAGTGTGTCGTCAGAATCATGGATCGCCTCGATCGCTCTGCAAGGACGATATTCCAGATGGCTCGTCGAGAGACGGGGTCCTGTCTATGATTAGTTCGGATTACTGAGTGCCAAGACAGCGATCTTACCATGCCAGTAGTCACCTCGTCCATGAGGCAAATGGTGCTTCCTCCAGCAAGCATGCATGCAAGTTGCACCTTGCGCTTTTGCCCTCCACTCAGGGTGGCAACCTGGCTGTTCATCTTGGGCCTCAGATCACATGAATCGACGAGCTGTTCCAGCTCTGCCGTTGTTGCCGACCCGCCCTTGATCATGTTCCAAATATAGGCATGTTCGAAAACAGTCAATTCCCCCCAGTGTATGTTTCGTTGCGGGCAGAAACCTGGTGTCAAAGTCAGCGGTGCTGAGGATCTAGGACGAGGAGCGATAGGTCTTACCAATCTGTGACGATGCGGCGTTGATCTCGATCACCCCGCTTGCGGGTTTCTGCCTTCCCGTGATGAGGTCCATGGTTGTTGTTTTTCCTGAGCCATTGATACCCAGCAGGCAGAGAATTTGTTGCTTCTGACTTGTAAAGTCCAGGTTGTCCACAGCAACAAAAGGACGGTTCCGGCCGCAGCAGAAACAGCACCAGATACGCTTCCAAAGCGGGGCACTGTATTTTTTCGTCAGACTTTTGACCTGTAGAGCTGTCCCATCATCTGCCTGGTTTCCTCCACTGAATTTGCGCCCCTTGTTGCTAATTCCCTGGGTCCACCTCTCGATAAGGATGGTTGCCAAAGGAAAGGCGACAATGGTGAATACGAGGTATCCAAGGAGTGTTCCAATAGTGGCCATTTCAACCTCCATGTCAACTCCGTTCATAGGAGCTGAAGCGAAGATATCGATCGGCCTTCCGATTCTTTCAAACCGAGCCATCAGATTGAGAACAATGATATAGCTACAGCTGGGAAAGACGATGGAGAAGCCGATGGCGGTTGAAGAGTCGATGGGGTACTTCAAAGTATCCATCGACATGGCAAAGACAGCCATGCCAACGATGGCGGCGACAGCGCAGATAGCGGAATATCGAACGGTAAATGTGGCACCGAAAACACATGAACTTGTAAGGGCCCAGCCAGTGAGGACCTGCCAGAGGATGGGGATTCCTGCGCTCGAGGATGGAAAGAGGAGACTAGAGAAGACTGGTCGAGCTCGTTAGCTGGGAAGGATGCTGGGGAACTTGAGTCACAGCTAAAACTAACCTCCACCCATAATGATAAACGAAGGGAGATAAATGATGTTGAAAGCAATGAGGTAGCTCGAGACGCGAGCGGCAGCAGCACCACCTCCCATGACATCTATGAGCTGTGCCATGCCCGATTCGCGCTCGTCGGCTATCATGCCGACCATGTGATAGACGAGAGAGAGCATGCTAATGAAACACACGACACTGAGCCCTGAAAAAATACCGCTGAGGAGGTCTTTGCGTCTTTGGGTGGCATCATCTTCTGGTGTCGTCCGCGTATACGTGTACATATCGGGAACGGTCGTCGAGTTGGTTATGGCCTGGTCTACGGCAAGCTGCAGCGGAGCATATGGATTCTTTGCCGCCTTGTTGGAGTTGAAGACATTAAAGCCTGATGATACTTTGGAGGAACTGACACGGAGGGTGTAGTTCCACTGATTGGCGCCGTTGCTGCTGAGGGGGGAATCGTTGAAGGTGACGGCGGCGTAGCAGTCTGTGCGGCCGTTGATGTCTGTCGGACACTTTTGCTCCAACTCGTCATCGCTCTGTAGGACCTGGACGATAGGCTTCGTCTTAAGGGAGTCGGTGATGGTCTTGATGGCTGCCGAGACATCGCTACCTGCGTCGGCGGATTGGATGAAGAAGAGTTTCGCGTTGTTAGGGATCACGTCGGATAGTGTCACGGCGGGTGACGGGCTGCCGACGCCGAACCTGTTGCCTGAAGATGTAAACTTCTGGATTCCTAACGTCAGACAGACAACTAGAATCGGAATGACGAGGGCCCGTATCAGAGTCGAAAGCAGATGTCGCTTAAGTGTAATGAGGAAGATCTTGTTGGTCAAGGCCTGGGTCTGTCGAACCCAGAGCCGCATGCTTGAAGACATAATGACGGCTACAGAAAGCGAGAATCGATGCAAGAAGGACTTCAGGCGCACATGAGAAGTGACTCTCAATTTGTACCGAACAAAGCAAACGAGGAGGATGATGTTGAACAACAGGCGGTCAACTCAAGGGAGGAGTCGCTTCTAAACACATTTTCGGCCTCGGCGCTATGGCTTATGCATACCACAACTCGATAGCAAGCCAGTCAGGACAAAGATGGCCCAGCCTTAACCGTTCAAAGGGGCTCGGCACGGTGGGCGGCATTGCAAGTTGCAGTGAACGTGCGGAAGTTTTCGTCCTGGCAACTAGTGGTCTCGTATGGGCAAGGGAGACGATGGGTGTAGCAGGCAGCCGAATTGTACGGCGGCTGAGTGGGTGTTCTGAGGCTGGCCGACGGGGCATGCCGGTCTGCGCTTGTGGATCGTCAAAGACTTAATGCGGCTGCCTGGGAAAAGGGGGCCAAATCTGTCCATGGTTTTGTCGAAGCGCTGAAAGAGCGGGCCCGCTGCATTCTACAACGGGTGTCCTGACTCGAACGACATACTCAAAATACCCTGAAGGCTGAAAGAGAACGATTTAACCTTTTCGTCTTCCAGTGTCGAACGCTGCAGCCTGGGAAACGCTGGTCCATTACTCGATACATCAGAAGCACCTCGAAAGGTTGTGGCAATGACCGCAGGATTGGTCTTCTCGCGATCGATCTTTTGGTTCGGTAATTGAGCGATTTTTGCTGGCTCTTTCTCAGTCAATTGCCGGGAATCCTCGCTAAAGCTGCCAATTGATGATGATGATGATGTCGTCTCTTTATCTGCATTGCCGTAGCATTGTCTTGCTTGGATTGGTGGTTCCGCTCAGGCGCAGGCGTTGAGTCTGTCTTCCTCAATGGCACGAGGCTCCTTCGTCCATTGCCAAGCGAGATAAGTGGTCTTAGTAAGCAGGTCAGGATCACGTGGTCTGTCCCACGATGTGTGGGTTGGCCATCGCGGAGGGTCATTTCAAAATCAGACGCCACCAATCCACTTAAACATGAATGGATGGCTCGTGACATCTCCGTTTCTGTTGACATCTCCATTTTTGGGACCGACGACAAGATTGATTCTTCTTCTTGATCCAGCACCCACGGCCCATCGGCCCGTCGATTCGATGCCCGTTTCTCCCACACCGTTTCCCGATTCATCAGATGCATGCCTTCACAGCCGAAGAGTACCCGGAGTCCGGGGAATCTCCGCTAGTGCCAGGGGATCAAGCGACGGGGCAGCCCAACCAGGCAGGCCCGCTCCTTCCCCAGACTCCGCTCGGCTCACCCCAGCATCTCGATCCCGTGCCATCTGACAGTTGATATATCTCGGTCCCAGACTCCTTCGACATCACAAATGATCCATAATCATCGAATACTCTTCTGCCATGGCGACGACGACGATTGAGCTCGAGCCAGTGCAGGCCTATGGCTCCCGCGACCTCTCTGCCAACCCATCAAAGCCATCTTCACCCCGTCTTGCCCCAACCGAACATCGAACCCAGGCAATGGGCGATGAGGAACCTCAAGACCTCAGTCGTGCGACGAAACTCAAGTTGCTGGCGGCCGGCGTTTCTTTCTTCGTCTCAGGCACCAACGATGGAAGCATTGGTGCTCTAGTCCCATACTTCATCCGCGACTACGAGCTCAGCACAGCCGTCGCCTCTGTCGTGTACGTTCGCATTGACCCCGGTGTGTAAGGAAACATGCACTCACTGGACTTCAGTTACGGCGCCAACTTCCTCGGATGGCTCTTCGCGGCCTTCACAAACACGTACTTGACCCAACGGTTCGGCCTTGGGGGTCTGCTCGTTTTTGGCGCAGCTCTTCAGGTCGTGGCCCATGCCCTGCGTTCCTGGAAACCTCCGTTCCCCTTCTTCTGCATCACGTTCGCCGTCGTCTGCCTCGGGCAGGCCTATCAGGATACCGGCTGCAACACCTACGTGGCCGGCGCGAAGGTGCTCATCGATGGCTTGCTTTCATCCACGCCATGTACATGGCCGGCTGCTTTGTTGCCCCATTTATAGCCACCGCAGTTGCCTCTGCCGGCACGACGTCTTACTGGTACCTCTACTATACATTTCCACTGGCTCTTGGCGTAGGAAACCTAGCACTCACATGCTATGCCTTCCGGGATACGATACACTTCCGAGGCAGACCTCGCTCGGGTGCGAACAACACGCCAAACACCGAGACCCAACTGTCTGGAAGCACAAGCGAGCCTACAAAGGGCGCAGCTCAGCTGGTCAAGGAGACCCTCTCCAACAGGTCCGTCTGGGTCATTAGTGCTTTCTTCTTCTTCTACATTGGTGGCGTTCTGACTGCTGTTGGCTGGATCGTCGAGTTCCTGGTGGAGGTCCGCGATGGCAATCTTGCCCACATGGGTTACGTCCCCGCTGGCTTTAGCGGCGGCGGTCTGCCCGGCCGTATCCTGCTCGCAGAGCCAACATTCAGGCTCGGGGAGCGCAGAATGATATTCATCTACTGTGTCCTGGCTCTTGCGTTCCAGCTGGTGTTTTGGCTGTAAGTGCTTTGTCAACGCTGTCTTCAGAAGCTTCGTGGTGCTGATGTTGTTAGGGTACCGCACATTGTTGCGGCTTCGGTAGCTGTCAGTCTTGTTGGTTTCTTTACGGGACCATTGTTTGCGACCGTGCGTTCAATCCTTTTATTTCCCACGTCAAAGTCTGCCCACTGACAAACGATGCAGGGCATTTCCATCGGGTCGAAGCTCTTCCCCCACGAAATCCAGTCAACGGCCCTCTCCTTTATCTTCCTCTTGCGCAGATGGCGTGCATTCTTCCGATCATCACGTGCCTTGCTTGCGTATAGCGTGTGTCCTGCAGCCATGCTAGTGCTTCTTGCTGCATGACGATCCTGACTGATCCTGAGGAAGCGACAGCATCTGTCTCTCACGAATGTAGGTATCAGAAGCTGTCCTGTCTATTGACTGATTGCGGCCTCGACTATTTTACATAGCACCTGAAGGTGCAAATGCAGTTTTGTTTGTATACTGCTGAGTATCGTGTCTTGTTCTTACATATCATAACAATCATCGTGTGAAAGCAATCTGAGCTGCTGTTAGCTCATTGTGGCCTGTATCCTTCAAAGCACTCTGCTCTACTATTCCATAGGCTCCTCCGTCTTTGTTATGTATGCTATTGCTCTGCATGTCGTCATTATGCATGTCGTCGTTATGCATGTCTTTGTTATGCACGTCGTCGTTGTGTTTGGTGTTGTATGTTTGTCGTTGAATGCATGTCGTAGTTCTACCTGCAATCGTCATGCATGTCGCTGCTTCATGTGCTATCACTGCCCATGCTGTCGTTTTGCATGTCATCGCTTTGCATGCCAATGTCTTGCATGCCATCGCCCTGTGCATCCTCATGCAAACCCTCACATTCCAGGGCCCGCTGCCAAACCTCACCCCAGCCTGTGCGAAGCGCATAGTCCCTCAACGTCTGACCCCTGTTGTCCACAGCGTCAACGGGCACACCAGCCCGGAGAAGAGTCCTGATAATGCGGACCATGTTGTCGTCGCGCTTGACTTCCATGTGTCTGTAGCCCTGTCCCGAAAAGTTATCATAGGTAAAAGGCGTCATGAGCGCCACCGTTCTCCAATTCAAAATGGCCCGAATGTCTTCGGCATCGACATCGGGAATGACGATGGACCACAGAATGGGACAGACGGGAACCCTCTTGATGCGCAGAGCATAGTGAAGCGGGGTGCGGCCGTACCGGTCCTTCTTGACCGTCATACCGCTCTTGAGGAGAAAGCTCCACCGACTCGACGACAAATGTGCAGCGTGTCGATGTAGGGGCAGTCCTCGCGGTTCTCGAAGAAGAGCTTGCGCCAGATCGGAATGTGGTCGAGGTCCTGTTCGAACAGCTCCACCATGCCGTTGACGGCAAGGATGGCGCCTGAGCGGCGTTGCGATGAGTGGAAGCCGGCCTCGAAGCCCCACCTCAAGATAAGGAGGCCCTCGCTGATGGCCCACTGACGACAGAAGCCTTCGGCGTCGCCGGCAGTCATAGCGCAGGCGAGGAGAGCGTTGGCCTTGATGCAGCGGAGACGGGTTCGCTCGGCGATCGTGATATAGTCTGGGCCGAAGATGGTCTGGACGGTGACGAGGTAGCGTGCCAGGGACGTGATTCCATGCTGGTCAAGATAGGATACCATGGGATTCACGCCCCAGGTGAGGAAGCGCATGAAGACAGCCTCACTGACAAACCATTGCGTGCCCATGATGAGGGGTGAGTTGAAGAAAGTCTCTAGGCCGTTACGCATGAACAGGTCGACAAAGGCGATGCCGCGGCGGCCGTCGCCGGAGGCGTTTGTGGCGCGGATGCCCGTTTCGAGGGCATGCAGAGGGCCGTTGTATCGGGTGCATTCGAAAATGGAGGCGCCGGAGCGGAGGAGGAGCTCGGCTGTCTGAAAACGGCCGAAGAGACAGGCAATCTCGAAGTGCGTCAGCCAGTATTCATCCCCCGGCACGCCGCTGAGCCAGTGGCCACCAAACGCCCTTTCGAGGGTGCCTTTGAAACGGGTGTCGTACTCGACTCCTTCTTCGTCATAGACATCGATGAGCTCTTGGTCGGTGGCATAGTTGGGATGAGGACCACTGGCATCAGCACCGGCGTCGATGAGCATCTTGACAAACTCAAAGGAGCGGTGGGAAGCAATAGCTGTTGCAAGGGGGGTGGGCCAGCGCGTGAAGCTGACTGTGTTCAGATAGCGCAGACAATTCGAGCCCGGTTCGAGTAAGACGGCAAGAGCGCGAATGTTATCCACGACGTGCAAGGGTGTACGCTCGGCAAGAGCGATATGGTACTCCATGCAATACTTATTCAGCCAGAAACGCGATGTGCAGTCATCGGCACCAGCAGCAAGAAGGGTGCGGATGACGGGGATTGACTGCGCGCCCAAACCGTTTGTCAGGGCCATGTTGAGTGTGCTGGCTGGAAGAGTGTCTTCGGCCAAAGAGGCGAACCCAACAGGACGCCGGCGGCCACGGGCATAGTAATAGTAGCAGCGAATAACCGTGCTTGTCGTGAGAGTGGTCTTCACAGGTCCGAAGGAAAGGGCCGTGGTCAGCATGTAATTGTAACTGAACTGAGCGACCATCTGAACAAGCTCATCTCTGCGGCCGAGCTTCGAGCTCCCAAAAAGGAGCGGAACAAGGCGGCTTTTGAGTTTCGAATTGGCCAAAGCAAACCGCCAATAGCAGTGCGAGGGAAGAAAGTCGATAATGAGGTGTAAGATCTCGTTTGGAAGGCTTTCCAGACGGCTTGGAACGCACGGTACAGCGTGCGTCAACGCGGGCATGGTGATGGGCTGGGCTTGCGCGCGATGTCTCAAGGCAAAGGAAAGGATGAAGACAAGTATGATAAAGGGAGCAGAAAATGAAGAAAGACGCGGATGGCCAGCTTGAAGACGAAGAACTGGTTCGCGGGTGGTTTTATGTCGGAGTGTCGGAGACCTTGATGGCAAAGACCTGGGATGTGTTCATGCAGGTGCAGAAGTCAGTTCAGGATTTTGGCGCGCCTCCCAAAAGCTTCACATACGCGTCTTGTATCACGTGGCCATTAAGCTTGGGTTGCCCAGAGCTTTTCACCTCTAAATATCTTGAGGCACGTGCCCAAGGCTGCCGTATTGAATTGATATCACCATATCCATTCACCGGGTTAGCGAAGTCCCAAGAAGTCCCTCATCCATTACAAGAGTGACTCCATTGGGAACAGCCTGACTGGTCCCGTGTCCATAGTGTTTCAACCCCTTCAGAGATCTATGAGTAGAGGATCCCGATCGACTAAGACATGCTATGTTCAGGTAATGATGTATGTTATTTGAACCGGGTCACGTTTGCTTGTCACCGATTGCTCTGATTGCGATCTGCCTCTATCTCAATAGATCTTGAGTCAAGGACCGATATTGTATTGTATGACAGTGTTACAGACATTGGAGAAGCTTATAGTCAAGCGTGCCAGTGAGCCGTTGTTTAGCAGTCTCGTGAGGACCCAATCTCGTGAAGACCTCATCAATCCTCCGCCAGACACCTTTGACTCTTCAGACATGGCAAGCGAAGAACCAGTCACGTGGCATGGTTGAGTGTGCCTAAGGGCCTTGCTAAACCTCACTATCTTGCAGCTCATTGTTAGCAATATGCTAGGTTCATCTTAGAAAAGCTCGGTGAATGCCTCAAGCCCATTCACGTTGGAGTTGTGGCGTCTTATCAGCTTACTTCATTCACGTATCGCTCCTTCGCAAGTCAGAAAGCCTTGATAGACTGACGGGCTTGATCATCCAGCTGATATCTTCTTCTTACCTCACTCCACCACATCACCTAAACCTTCTTGATTGCAAGCTTTAGATCGCTTAACACGATCGCATCTCAGACCCCTCGAAGGCCTTTGACGATATTTGGTTACAACTGCACACAATACTCCCACGCCGAAACCTCGATGGCGTGGTTGCGCCCGGGGAGTTGGCCCGACTGGCCTTTGCCCCTGCTTCTGTTCTGATTCTGACCCAGCTTGTGATGTTTGTATCTGGAGGTATGTATTAGAAACATCGATGACGGGGTCCGCTGTCGCTTTGATGGTGCGCGCCACAATGCGCCACCTATCTCAGCCCCTGTGCCCATACTTTGCTTCAGCGACGCACATTCTTTAAATCAACGACAGCTAACCTCTACAGAAACCACCAATGATTCGCCCAAACTCTGTTCGAACTCTGATACCAACGATGGCTGTGTTACACTTCATGGTGTTGTTGGCCCTGAATCGACGTCCAACACCGACGCCGTTATTTCCAATGATGAATCTCTTCAGCTCGACGATCAGGCCACCCCCAAGGATGTGCGTTCAAGGCACGATGCTCACGTGCACACTCTCCAAGAGCGCCAGGCCACGACTATCAAGATTTACATTTCGACCACTGCTTCAGATGTCCCTGCAGCCGAGCCCACTGTTCAGCCCGGGTCTGTTGTACCTGATGGATCCAGCCCCGAGCCCAATAATTCAGGCTCTCCGGCGGTCACAGATGTCTCAACTAGTTCTGAAGATGCCCTCAATCACAATGAGGGCACGACCATCAGGTTCTCCTTGAGCAGTATCCCCACAATCAATACTGTCGAGAACACTGGGGTTCCTACAACCCAGAAGACTTCCAAATCTCTCATCTTTGTCACTGGTGGCCGACCTGCACCAAAGGATTCGAACGGTGAAGTCTTTCGCACTCGAAGCTCGGACACCTTGCCTCACGCCACGAGCAATGGCGACTCTGCTCGATCCACCCACGATGGACCTTCTACCGCTGAGAATCCTGTCAGCACTGCCAGTGTGAATGGTCAGGACATCTCCAGCACTGTTTTGTCTGGTCAGAGTGTCCGTGACAGTGGCACAGTATCTCCCCCTGCCACTCATATCGTAACAACATTGAGCGACACTGCATCGCTCGGCCAAGCGTCTCCCGTTGTTGTCGACGCGCCTCCAACAGCCCCAAGCATGGGTAATGTCATGCCCATCCCGAATGTTCCTTCCGTCAGCACGATGCCGAGCCAGACGTCGCCGCCCCTGCCTGATGGTGAGAAGCCGTCAGCTACACATAGCCAAGGTGCAATTTCGACGCAATGGCCTACCGACTCATCAGGATCGCCACTATTCCCAACCCCGACGTACACAGACTCTGCCAGCATTGTTCAGTCCGCCTGGCCAACCAACACTGATGGTTCGCCGGTGCCATGGCCCACCAGCGAAGATGGCACGCCTTACCCCTGGCCCACTGACTCGGATGGCAAACCGTACCCTCCCCGGCCTCGCGAACACAACGGGTTCTTCTTTCCTCCATGGCCACGAGAAGAGGACGGCTCGTTTTGGTTTCCTTGGCCTTTTTTCCCTCCTGAAACAGACCCCGATGTTCTCTTCTTCCCATACCCGCCCGAGAACTTCGACTCGAAGACATGGACTTGGCCTATCACTGCCACAAACACCGAGTCCGACGGTTCCTTCCGTACGTCGATTATTACTTGGATCTCGACCGACATCACTCGTACTGCTACAGTCGATGGCATCGTCATACCCACGTCTCGTCCAGGATGGACCTGCAGCCCCAAGTACTGGTGCTACAACCTCTGCTGGAAATGGGACCTGCTTTGTACTGAGTTCGACGGGCCGCTGATCCCCGAGCGTTCCGGGTTCCCTCCTGTCATCATGCCCTCGCCGCCTGCTGATATTGGCTCTGGGACCCAAACCAGTGCTCTTCTTATGACTTCTACTCTTCTTCCTTCTCCGTCTGGCTCGGACGGCTCTAATGGCCAGGGGCAAGAGGATGGTGTTGAAGATGACCAAGAAGATAATGATGACAACGATAGAGGAGACGATGATGACGATGACGATGACGATGACGACGACGACGATAATGATGGTAAAGGCAAGGGAGGCAAAGGAGGCAAGGGCGGCAAAGGCGGTGGTAGCAATGGAGGAGGTGGCGGCACCATCGGGGGCATCGATCCCGACATCGATGGCGGTATTCTTGGCGGAACTGATGGCGGTACTACCAACGATAACAACAACGACCAAGACAACGACAAAGACCATGACCGCGATGATGACGACGATGATGATGATGATGACGACGAGGACGAAGCCACCTGCACCATCACTTACACCGTCGCCCCTCACTGCTCGCAGTTCTGCACTGTGAAACCCATTACGCGCTCGGGCACCATCCAGACCGAGGCTCTCACGACCAGCTGCTTCACTGCCGCCTGCGAGACCAAGAGGCTCTGTTCCAAGCCACCAACGAAGACTGCGACGACCTACGCCACTGCCACGCCCACGTCCACGGAACCGCCACATCTCTGCGAACCAGGCCGCTGCGGCTTCCCCGGCGGTGCCTGTCTGCCCGGAACCACCGATGCCGATTCGGCAGCCGAGAAGCACATTATCCAAGCTCGACGTACTGGAGATGGAGATGCCATTCTCACCGAAGACGTCAGTTCTCCCGAGACTTGGCCAGACGGCGCGGCCGACTGGTGGAAGAAGGCATGGCGCATCGTCGCCGACTATGGTGCTGGCGATGGCAGCGACTTTTACGTTAGCGACCCTGATTGGAGGTTCGTTCCCGGTGCCTCGGCCAGTATGTTTGTCGCCTTCGACGAACCGCCTCGCTTGTTCGGCGGCACTCCCATGCCCGGTATCGGGGGCGGCTCTGGGCCAGTATGGGGCTGTACCATGATCGTAGTGGCGAGCCGAAAGGGTGTCTACACGAACCATATCTGGCAATCCCCCAATCTGCACTACAATGATGAGCGGGATCGCGAACAGTATCCCATGGGTCACGAAGCTCTTTTCAAGGAGCGCGTCACCGACTTTTTGGCCCGGGGAGCCACGGGCGACGACGCCCAGGTCGACTGGTACCCCGGGCTGTGGGGGCTGATGGGAGACGGCAAGCCTCTAGATCCCGAGGCCGCCGGCTTCATAGGGGCCTGGATCATCACCTCGGCAGATCCATGGGGCAACGTTTACTCTCCATGGGAAATCGAAGAGATTCAACGACAGATGGAGACGGAGGGCGGCGTGCCGTTCGACATGATCCACGTCACACCGTACAGACCAAACTCCCAAGTCGGTCGAGACTGGGAGGAGTTTGTCGATGAAACGGGACGACTCCAATGCCGATAACTTCCGGACCGAGTGGTATGACGGCCTCCTCGTGTGGCAATATGGCCCAGGAAGCGAGAACCAGTCGCAACGGTTGGTCATCCGCTTCCGCAACGAGGTCCTCGCGTCCATGGCGTGGTGTCGTAATCGACAACCGGGTTCGACACAAAGTTCGGTGACACAGAGTTTGGCGACACAGAGTTTGGCGACACATAGTCTGGCAGCACGACAGACTGAAGGCGTGCAAGATTTCGAAGTCACGATCCCCGGATTCGAGCCTCGTGAAGATGGCACGTGTGTTAGGTCAAGGTGCAGCCCAAGTCACTGCAGCAGCTGTTCGGACGTCAAGGCTGAGCCTGCGGAGGACCCATCAGAAGACAGCGCCACAAATAAATTCGCTCGCCGACAGAGCCCTGGTACAGCAGATGTCATCCTGGCCAACCGACCGACCGATCCTGAGACGTGGAAGAACGGCGAGGCCCAGCTGGAGTGGTGGATGAAGACCTTCCAGCTCACGTTCGAGAATGGCCCCAAGATTGACTACACGGCTGGAATGAAGGAGTTTTCCACAACAACAATTGATCATTTTGGCGAAACGAATTCGGACGGAGAACTGGTTGATGAACCCAAGGGCGGCGGCGTCGGTCCTATTCGCGGCTGCACCTCCGTCGTCGTGGCGTCTCCGAGGGGCATCTTCACCAGCCACATGTGGCAAATCCCCAGCTTCGCCTTTGAAGAATACGCAAACGAATACGACATGCCCCAAAGCTTCTACTTTGAAAAGTACATTCGCGACGTCTTGCTTCAGGGCTGGGACGGCGGTGACGATGGTAGTGACGAACAAATGGGCCTCTGTGACAGTGCCTTGGCCCGCGGTCAGCCTTTCCACTTTGAGTCCCTCCGATGGATGCGGGTCTACATCATCACCGTCATGGACGACGACGTTGAGCCGGAGACGGCGGCTGCCTATCCGGAGATTGTTGCCGCCATTGTCGAGATTCTCAAGAAGGACTGCATGTTCCCCGAAGACATCATCCAGCAGATCTTCTACGACGTTGGCAACTCTGGTACTCCGAAGTCGGCCCTGGCGCCTGCAAACCAATTCTGGGATCTGTCCGACGACCAGAAGCTGCAGAAGTGGGCTGCGGAAGGCACACCGCACTGGAAACCGTGGATGGGGATGGTGTCCTGGCAGTACGGCCCTGGTGGAGGCGGCTCAACCAGCTCCGCCACCGTCACGACGTCGACTTCAGCTGCCCAGCCGACAGGCAGCGGCGTACCTCCTGTCATCCCCAGCCAGGCCAAAGAGCTTGTAATTCGCTGGGAAGAGTCCATCATCTTCCGCCAGTCGTGGTGTGGGGATGGCATGGTGCCTGAAGGCCAAACCCCGGAGGACGTGGAAATGTCGGATGTCGCAGATGGTTGCCATACTCAGCGAAGGCGGCATACTGTTCCCCTATGTGGCGGATGCGACGAGTGTATGAGTCGCTTCAACCCTGGCCAAGACTCGGACAGCGATGTCGACATGGGTGACCCCTCCGACAGTAATAGCGACGAGGCCATGCCTGACGCAGGTGGCGGCGCAAAATTCGCTCTGAGCAAACGTCAGGGTCCCGGGGCCACGCTTCCTGAAAACGCACAAGAGATCATTACGAGCATGGTCTGGTGGCCAGGATTCTGGCCCGGCGAGGGCGGCGAGAAGGCTTGGTGGCGCAAGATGTACATCATTTGCACGACTTGGGGTGCTCTTCACGGCATCGAGCGCGACGCCGAGAACACGACGTTGGCACACTACTCGACCAGCTCCCTGGCTCTCTTCCATTATGACCAAGACAACACTTTGCTCGAGTATGCAGTCCCTCGAATGGGCGGCGTCGTGCCTGTCGCCGGTTGTCTCGCCCTGGTCGTCGCTTCACCTTCAGCCGTCTGGACTGCGCACATCTGGGAGGTCCCGACTTTAACGCTCGGCCTCTTCAGCGACTCTGCCGACGACATTGAGCGCTTGTTTCCCAAAGCCCAGGTGGAGTACTACAAGGAAGGTGTTGTCGATTTCATCTCCGACGGCGGTCGCGGGTACCAGGGTCTCGAACTCCTGACCGGGCCCGGCATGCCCTTCAACGTCGACGAGCAAGAGTTTGTCTGGGTGGGCATCGCGGCGCCGCGTGATACAGACGGGTCAAATGACAAAGATTCGCCCTCTCAATACCGCCCTTACATCCGCGATGCCATTGAGGGTGTTAAACAGGAGATGGAGAAGCTCGGCTTCCAGAATGAGGACATGATCAACATTATCCCTTATGACCGCCACACCGTTGTGTACAGCGACAAGAACAAAACCGAGCGCGTTGGATGGGAAGGTCTCCTCTCATGGCACTTCTCCCCCGGCGAGCAGAATACAACGACCAATGTCCAAACGTATGGCACTGGTAGGGAGCTCATCGTCCGCTTCGAGGAAAGGGTCCTCATTCATCGCTCATGGTGTGGAGACGGCATCAAGCGAAAGGACAGCCCCCGCGTGGAGGTCATCCCAGGGCCGATTTGTCCTCTGCCCGAGAGGCTATGCGGCGGCACCTGCGAGGCATGCGTCGAAGCGGCAGACACGTCAGAAGACCAGCCATTCCGAGCCTGGACGCACGACTCGATGTTTGGGTTCGAACTCGATGACCCCAGCAAGTACCGTCCCGGTTGGCGTCAGCAGGAGGATCTTTGGTGGGGGCTCATGCGCGAGCACATTGAGGCCACTGGTCCCGAGTACGGCAGGACGAACTCGAGCAATTTTGAGCTCTGGTCGACGAGCAAATTCTATGACTTTGCCATCAATTCGGAAGGACAAGGCAACGTACTGCCGATGGGCGGCGGCGCACCTCCGGTTTGGGGATGTACCATTGTGTTGGTGGCTTCGCCTGCTGGCGTTTGGTTCGGACACTTTTGGGAGGCTCTGGCCTTTTCGATCCCAATCGGGCCCGAAGGCGATGCCATCAAGGGAGCTCAGCCCGATCGCACCAGGGATGAATATTTCAAGGAAATGGTTACAGATTTTTTGAAAGACGGGAATGACAAGGGCGGTATTCAGAACCCAGGTCTCGCCGAGTTTACTTCGGAGAACGGCCACTTCAACGCGGACAACAAGGAGTTTGTGTACGTCGCCATTGTCAGCCCGCAAGCAGCCAACGCCACCAAGACTGCCAAGTATCCGACCGAAGTCGACAGCATCCGCACGACTCTCCGCGATGAGCTCGGCTTGAGGGAAGAGGACATTCACGTCCACCTCTACGAGCAACAGGTTTCGCTCTCGAGCTCCTTGTACGGAGGCTCCCTTCGTTCATGGCATGGCCTCGTCTCGTTCCAGTACACGCCCTACGCCTACGTCCGTGAAGATGACACGACTCATTACGAGAAGCGGCTTCGCATCAATCTCGAACGCGTTTCTCTCTTTGAGCAGGGCTGGTGCGGCACCGGCATCAAAGATGTTTCTCAGCGCCACAAGGCAGGAGACGACATGGGCGACATACCCGCCGGCTGCTACTACGACCGACCTGCCGATGGCGCACGGCCCAGCGATGAGGGTGACCGATGCCTCCAAGATGACGATTGCGCCCGCACGCGCTGCGCCAAGCAATTCGGCGCGAAATGTACGCGTCGGAGCTCCGACGCGGGCTCGGGATCGTGTGAATGCGACCTGGATGCCGTCAACAACTGCGAAAAGCAATCCGACTGCGAGGACGTCAAGTGTGACTACGCCTGGCAGGAACCTGTGTGCGTGTTCAAAGACACCAAGTCGTCCCTCGAGAAGAATGCGGGCCCTGGCTGCCGGTGCCTCGGGCATACGTGCAACAAGCACACCGACTGCGACTACGCCGAGTGCGGGGAGCGACGCACGCTCAGCTGTACCGACGGACGCTGCCACTGCAAGCACTGCGCCGAGATTGATTTCCAGGAATCGGACTACTGGAACATGCGCTGCCTCGATGTCGAGGGGCACATTATGGAGACTGATCCCTGGGACACGGTGACGTGCCAGAGCACGGTCAACATCATGCTGCAGTGCTTCGGCCGGCAGCGCGGCAAGGAGGGCCCGCCAGACGCCATCGCCGAGTGCGACTACATCTGCTGTCCCAAGGGCAAGGTGCCGCGGTGCCTCAAGCCTGTCTGGAATCCGAAGGACTGGACGGTTCGGGAGTGCATGTGCACGGAGTGGGACTCGGAGCACGCGGGGCGGATTCCTGTTGATCCGCCCGAGGAGGCGACATGGAAATGATGGTGCTCTGGTAGTAGGTAGCTCGGCTTGCTGGTCGGGATGACGGTGTTCCTGATGAATAACCGAGAAGGGTTCATGATGTGCTAGTCGAAAAGGGACGAATAGAGACGAGTTCGCCTGATGATGTTGTACTATGCTATGCTGTACTGTGCATGTTCGGGTGAAGTGGTGATTGCCTCTAGTGCATTGTCTCGGAGTCGCCATGGCCGACCGTGGCCCTGAGGCCTGGCGCCCGAGGCTCAGTGGCGCCCGAGGCTTAGTGGCGCCCGAGGCTCAGTGGCGCCCAAGGCTCAGTGGCTCAGGCTTTTGGCTGTGGCTGCTTGTTTTCACGCCAGAACAACACGAGCCAAGCACAAGGCACCGCCGGCTCCACCACATCACCATCTTAATCTCAACGTCTCACTTCCCACCGCCAGCTCTGCCCACCCACGTCACTCCCCGAGACCCGTTTGACGCCAGCTGTCACGGATCCTTGCGCCGGTTGAGACCCATCACACGGCTAACCCGACTTGAAGCTGCCCACGAGCAAGCGGTGTGTGCAGATGGCCACTCAAATGCCTCCTCCTTCGACGCCTGACTCCAGCTTGTAGACACGGCGTGCCATGTCTCCATGCGCCATGACCGACAGTGTTTGACCTGCCGACTGCCAACATAGAGACCCTGGAGCCGTTTCCGACCAGATTGATGTCTTCCGATACACACACCACAACCGTCCTATCATCGTCCATCCGAGCGACGATGCAGGCAGCCTGATCGAGTGTTTGCATGGCGACCACCCGTCATGCAGCTTGCTCTGGCAAGACAATGTCGTTACTCAGATCCCCATCGCCATTGCACAGACTGCCGAGAGGCGACGACCACTTGGCATCCCCCTCGAGCACACATCCTCGTGGGCTCCAATGACAAGAGAGCGCCAGCTTCAGCCCAGCCTGACCGGTCGATGCAAATGCAGAGCTGGCGTCGTGAAGGCTCCCACGGACATGTGCCCAATGTCGGTGCACTTGACACTGTCTCGCGGTAGACTGCAATGCGGGGCATTGTCTCGGTCAACGCGTCGCGATCGACACAAGCACGCGGGACGAACCGCAGAGTCCGCTGTCCAATGGATCCCTAGTCTCAGTTACACGGCTCGGGTGGGTTGCACGACTCATTTCGATCACGGTCCATTCCAGCACGCTTGGCCGTCCTTGCACGCCCTGGGTCCTACAGACTCGAAGTTGGGATCAGCCGGCTAGCATGTTGTGATCCACGCATGGACTCTTCGTCTTTATAATGCCCGCCTACCTCCCTAGTGAGCAGTTCGGAACTCCTCACGCGTCTCGCTCCCCTTTCGACGACTCCCTCGCTCTCGCATCATGTGGTTCCGTAATGCCCTCGTCCTGACTGCCCTGGCCACCCTCGGCCTAGGTGCTGCTGTGCCTGCTTCCGGTCTCGAGGTTGCCTCGAGCACCGGCGCCACCGAGTACGATGCCATCATCGTCGGCGGCGGTCCTGCCGGTCTTTCGGCCCTCAGCGGCCTGGCCCGTGTCCGCCGTAATGTGCTGCTGATCGACTCGGGCGTGTACCGCAACGACCCCACGCGACAGATGCACGATGTCCTCGGATTTGATGGTACGGTTCCTCTTCCTTCTCTGATACACATTTCTAATCTGTACATCAGGCGTCCGCCCAGCCTACTTCCGCTACGCCGCTCGCCAGCAGATCGCTCACTACAAGACGGTCTCCATGGTCAACGCGACAGTCACCAAGATTGAGCCGCAGAACAACAACACGCTCTTCGAAGTCCTGACCGATGACCCCACAGGCGCCTCCAAGACCTACCGCGCCCGCAAGATTGTTCTGGCCACCGGCATGCGGGACATCCTCCCCGCGACGCCCGGCATTAAGGAGGCCTGGGGCAAGGGCATCTACTGGTGCCCCTGGTGCGACGGCCACGAGTACGCAGACCAGCCCCTTGGTCTGTTCGCCCCGCTGGCCGACGTGCCCGGCCTCGTGCGCGAGATGATCACCCTCAACGCCGACGTCGTGGCCTTTGTCAACGGCACCGATACACCCGACGCCCAGGCCGCCACGGAGAAGAAGTTCCCCGACTGGCGCATCTACCTCGACATCCACAACGTCACCGTCGACAACCGCACCATTGAACGCCTCACCCGCCTCAAGGAGGACGCGGACGACCACGACCCCAGCCTGCCGTCCGTCGCCCACGCCGACCTCTTCAGCGTCGAGTTCCCCGAAGGCAAGCCCGTCGAGCGCGCCGCCTTCCTGTCGAGCTGGTCCTCAGAGCAGGCGTCCGATGTCGGCGAGGAAATGGGCGTCACGCTCTACGGCGGCCGTCTTGCCGCTGATCAGACCAAGGGTCTCGTGACGAACATCCCTGGCGTCTACGCGATTGGCGACGCCAACTCGGACAACATCACCAACGTGCCGCATGCTCTGTTTTCGGGCAAGAGGACCGCCGTTTTCCTGCATGGTGAGTGCCGCATCCGGCTTCCCCGGATCGAGGAACATTAAGCTAATAGTTTCACAGTCGCCCTTGAGAGGGAGAACGCGCTCGAGGAGATCAAGGAGGCCAAGGAAGGGGGTAAGAAGGAGAGGGATTTGGAGCTTGAGCCGAGGGCCGTCTGGGAGGCCATGAACGGGGAGCCGGGCGAGCCGCTTTTCGCGGGCGAGTACCGGGAGTAGCTGTCTATATTTGCCATGTCCCGAAAGATTCATGCGCCTTTGATAATTACTCTGGCCTGACCTTCGAGCACCTCTAATTGATGATATATATGAGCAGGCCTTGATACAATTGCCAGTAACAATGTCTTGTCTTGATATGTGTGGTGGACAATCATTGGCTTGGTGAATTCAGATTGCGGCGTGGCCAAGTCCGCCAATGTCAAGAGCAGTCTCATGCCAGATGTCTGTCGTTTTCTTGCGTATGACGCACGTAGCAGAGCATATCTCACAAAACACTACACTCCGACTGCTTGTACTCTCGTCGGACAAGTGTCCGCTTCACACCCGCCTTGCACAGACTTGGCAGCCCTCCGCTAGCCATCTCCTGTCACTGCTTATATTCCCGTCTCAACGTGATTACTTTTTTCCCTTCACCTAGAGTACTGCAGCCATCACGAGCCCGACGACGGCCATTCCGTGCTGCCACTGTGACGGCGCCGTCGGCGCGGCACCTTGACTTGAGGTCGTCGTCACGGGGCCGGACAGCGCCGATGTCTCTGTGCTGATGGAGGCCGTGCGGGTAGATGTGACCGTGCCACTCTGTTCCGAGACGGTAGAGGCAACCGACGACGATGAATTCTCTACACTCGGAGAGATAGTTCCTGCAGTTGATTCAGTTTCCGTGGTCGTTATTTCGGACAATATCGAGATCTCACGGCTTGCAGTAGACGTTGTGGAAATCGCCCTGACACTCGTCTCGCCTGTTCCCGTAGCGTCATCGCCATCCTGCGTCGAAGAGCTTGTCGCCGAAGTCGACGTCGGACGTGTAGTTGTGACAGGCGGGATCGAAGACTCAGTGATCACCGGTCTAGCAGACACCGTGGTCGGCTCGAACGGATCAGGCAGCGTGGTGATGGGCGTGAACGTCAACGTCAGCGAAAGCTCCGCCGTCAGGCTCGAGAGGAAGAGGCTGTTCTCAGCAATGATCGACTCGATCTGCCTGCTCAGGGGAACGAGCGCAAAGGCCGACTCGGTCGTTTAGAACAACGGGTCGGCGCACTCGTACGGCGCGTCGTCGTCGCTGCTCTCTTGGCACGTCTGGCCCGTCAGGCAGCACCACGTGTTGTCGCAGACGACGGGGCACAGAAAGCTGCGTCCCTGGATCGAGCGTCGTGAGGCGCGGAGGGCGGATCGCGAGGCTGAGGCGGTGCGGATGTTTGCGGCGATGGCCGCGTACAGTGGAAGAACAAGGTAGTTCATTATGAGAATGGAAAGCATGGAAAGCATGAGAGTACTTTCAGTGATGGATTGTAAACTTGCAGACCCGGGCGAGCCATCCAGGGCGCATCGTGCTATTTGTTGCCACAGAGCATTGAAGCTTGTTTCGCTGCCAATCGCCACCCTAGTCCCAGCTGAAAGCAACTCCTACAGACATGCTATCGCCATCGCGCAAGGCTGCGGAAGGTATCAGGTGGCCTAGGCGATCACCCCATTCCATCACAGTCTGGGGTGCGAGGCGCAACAATAGCTCAACCCTCTGCGTTGTCGGATAGGCTCAGCTGAAACTTGACAAACGCCTCGCAGCACACGATGTGACATCTCGACGCCTCGCCAGCAGCATATCGCAAAGCACGTTATCAGATACGAGAGAGCCTGGTCGCGCCACACACCGAAGCCGTTGTTAAAGTTTGGTCTAGGACCGTGCCGAAAAGCCGGCCCGGCTGACCGCGACCAAAGAGGGCAATATCGTGCCAAAGCTGAGCAGCCTTTTCCTTCGGGACAGCTCGAGACCGAGCTGTCAACCTGTGATATTGACAGCGGCTCCCCCAGCAGATATAATGGGGGCCAAAATCAAAACAATGTCTGCATAATGGTAGCTGGTTATTTCAGATCTTTGATAGCTGTGATCAGCGCAACGTCGTGCTCACAAGCAAACCCATTCTTCGATTTGCCACTATGTCCCAGCAGGGAATCCCAAATGGTGACTCAGTTCCACCCGTCGGGGACCCTATCCCGATGGTCACCTTACCGTCACAGGTGACTGCAAACGCATCTCCTAGTGATGTATCCCTGAACACAACCGGAGGAACTATCTGTCCATCAGCAAATCCGCGGGCACCTCCCACCGGGTCCCCCACGGATGTCTCTCAGGACGCTCCACAGGGTCCCGACTCAACCTCGCCGATTATTGACAACCCAGATGGTACTATAGACTCTGCATTAATCGCGTGCCCTCCATCATTTGCAGCAAGCCCAATTACGGCTGCACAGTCTCCAGCTGCTCTAGACACTCCGCATACGACTGTGCCGCAGTTGGCTACCCAGACACCCGCCCCTCAACCAACTCCGCATTCACCTACCTCGAGTACCCACGACCAACCTCAAACGGCGCCGGCTTCCTCACCATCAACATCGACTACTTCGCATCCTTCAAACACTGTAACCCCTCCAATTTTTCCAGTTGCTTCTCCTCCTTCCAGTCCAACTGTCTCAACAACTCCTGCGCCAACACAGCCGCCCGGAATCTTGACAGGTGCCCCTTTTACACCCAATGGCGCGCCTCTTCCGAGCAATGTACCAACAAAGGCTTCCCCAATCCACGCAGCCCTGACCGATGGCCTTCTTTGGTCCGTCCTGTGGGCTATGCTCTTGTTTATGTTCGTCTCCTTACTCACATGGCAAGCCAAATCCCTTGACTGGCCGCTTGCCAACCTTTCAATTTCGACAGGTATCTTCCTCTTGACGATCCTCGCTAAGCTTACCGACTGGGCCCTTGACAGTTTGGGAAACCTCGGGTGGGAGAAATTGTACTGGGGACCCATCCTTCACCGGAACGCTACTCTCTTGACACATCTCGTCATGACTTCAGGTCTTGCTGGGTGGTGGGTTGTTTTGCGAAATCCGCCGGAAAACGGATCACCCTCGCCATCCCGACTCGTGAACCTACTTCGGCGAGGCCTTTCGGCGCGATGGCCCCGATTTTGGGCCTTCTGGAGGTGAGAAAAGTCTCGGATGGAAAAACTTTCTGTATCATGTAAATTGACGGCTACGGTGCAGGATAGCTGTCTGGCTCTTGATACAATTTCCTGGCATAATCATCATGTCAGATGCAAGCCCTCGGACGTCCTACCGTCCTGCCGGCTGGTCGACAGTCAGCGGCGGCATGGGCATTTTCAACTCGAGTGATACATTTCAGGTGCCGGGAGATTATGTCACCAACAGTTACATTTTCAACATGCTGCAAGACACCAGAATGGCCAGCAGCACGGAAGCTATCAGCCATGAATGTCGGAATGATCTGACATGCGAGGCGACTCTCCTCGTTGGTGGGCTAAGGTGGATCGCACCGTGGCCTTATATCCAGCTGCCCAGCGATCTCACAGCATTCTTGACTCGTGACATGCCTGTGTATCAGCTCGAGGGCAGAAACACTACCCTTGACAAGTCCATCTCCTGGGCGACCAGTGAATGTCGGGTCTACCAAGCCGTGGACAGTGCCCTTCAAATCTGCGCAAAGGACAGCAACAAGGGTGGCTCTATTCTTACCGGTGAGTTAAACCTAGCTCAGCATTGACCTCACCATGCGGCTGGCATGCCCATGTTGGGACATCATGAACTAATTCTCGGCCAGGTATTCGAGCCTGCGACCCAGGTAAGCTCGACGACGAAGGCGACTGCTCACTGAACCCTCAGTGGCCAGGGTGGGACTCTTTCGTTGCTTTTTCGTCCACTTTGGACATCTACCGCCTGAATATCAGCATGGCCGCCGATCGCCGTAGCAGCGCCATTCTGGAGGTGACGGACAAAGGAAAGCCAACGAAGCAGGATATCCACCCGAGCGAATTCCTCGACGCATTTGACAACCTGTTCTGCCCCTTTACCTCGGACATCTCGACCATTTCAAGGTACTGTGAGACTGGACAGGTTAGGTCTGATGTTACACTTAACCTATGGATGTTCGTGTACTACAATTACCAATCCGAAGGCTTCGAGAACTCTGTAGCCGTCGACACGCTGCGCAACATCTACGCCACGGCGCTATTCCTCTATAATCCTGTCTTCCGCGGTGCCGTCTTCGCTCCCAATGCCCCAGCCTTTCTGCGCACGGCGCAAGAGGGCCTTGCCGACGAGAATTACTTTCCGGGGACCCCCGCAAGGAGGTCGTCCCACCTCGCGCCAGCGCTGTGGACGGTGCTGGCCTTTACCGTTTCCGTCGGATTTCTCATTTCAGCCTCGCTTCTAGCGATTTTCTTCGCGCTGTGGTTTAAGCAGCCCCAGCTCTCGGCTTTTGGACCTCTGAACGCGTTCAAAGCCGATATTGTGCAATTTGGACAGGCAGGGAGCCTGGACTTGGATGCACTGGTGACAGGCAAGACGGACAAAGAAGTCGCTCTGGCGACGGATGGCATATGCATCAGGCTTAGGTAGTCTCTCGAGCAGCAGTCATTCTCAATACAGCACCACAATGAACGGCCAACACATTAATTGTAAATTACTACAACAAAAGCCTTCAACCTGGCTTCATGTTGTTTTCATGTTTGGGCCGGGGCTTTCGGCACCCGTCAAGTGCTGTCAACTGCAATCGTTAGAAGCTGGCTTGCGTCCATTTTACGGGACGTCGTGGTCACTTACAAGTGTGTATTTCTGTTGAATGAAACTACCTCTGCCGACAAGACTTACCATAATAATCCCACATCTCTGGCTGGATGTTTAGTTGATCATCTTAGGCTGTAAATGTGTACACTTAAGCAGTGTCAAACCGCTCTGCCGAGCCGAATATCCGACGTCGTTTTTCGGGCACCAACAAGGCAGTTTTAGTTGCACAGTATCAAGTGTTGGAGGGGTCAAGTGCGGAAGAAAGGGGTGTGTATTGAGAAGCTATTCTGCAGGGCAGGAGGGTGCCTAGCACTCAGCCATGAGAGGCACCACAGCTCAGGCCGTCTGGCACCAGGTGAAGGGCACTGACGAAATGAATGCCACCACCAGCATCAACAAGACGTACGTAGCCTGATGGGAGGCAGTGCATACGTGCATGTGGTAAAGCTATTGAACATGATTGTAGAGGCGGGCCTCTTAGGTGGCTTTGGCCAGTGTGGCCGGCCTCCCGCATGACGCCGCGGCCTATCATGACCTTCTCTTCGCGCCAACCGTGCTGTTGGCGTTCTGATGACACCCAACCAGTCCTGGCTTGAAGCTCCTCCCCTCTATAAACAGCACTGAGGGACTCTCCTGGACCTCCTGGACGGCGATCGAGATGCTTTCGTCAACATGTCAGATGTCTTGTTCGAAAAAATGCCCCCTGCGCCGCAGAAGTCCCCAGCCTTCATCTGCGCTGAGAATATCGCTCTTTTGCAATTCCTCCACGATGTCCCAACCCAGCCATCCAACAGAAGTCTCCTTGAGACCGCGACAAGTGATGGCCAATTACCTCTTTCACTCGAGCACGAGCGGCAGCTCACGGGTATCCTAGCGACACTCTCTTCGATTCGCGAAGACGTTGCCCTAATTACCGCCGTTGCCATCCGGCAGTTCAACACGCCTGGCAAACACCATCCGACCTCACTAGAAGTTCTTGTGGCAGTGAACAAATCGAAGCCCTCCGATGGAGAAGACTATCTGGGCTCAGTGTGTGATGGCTTTCGGCGTATATTTGACACACTCTCCCACGCCACCAGAGGTCAGTCAAGCTTCAGGCTCAACAGTTGACGTTTCTCACACACCGGCGAAAGAAACGATAGCCAGTTAGAGTATCGCGCCTTCGTCGACATCGTGTCCATCTGCAAGGAGCGTATCTTGTCACGCCTTCGCTTTGGCAAGCACAAGCGGGGAAAGACGAAGGCGGCCCTCAAAAAGCTGCTGCACGACATGTGCGATGCAGTTGCCTCACATAGCTCAAGTAGCCATGGTCATAAACGAGCTTTCATGGATGGAACCCGACGACTCATAGCGGCTTTCAACCAGTTCGAGAAACACCAGACAGATGCAGAGCTTCTGTTACTTGTTGAGGAGATAGACACCTGGACACGAATGGGAGACTTATTCGATGTGTTCCGCGGGGTCCCATCCTCAGCATTGAATGGCGCTTGCTGCGAAGATTACCGAAGGATTTTCAACAAGATTGGCCAGTATCGTACCGCCGCTCGCCGGCTATACCGTCTAACCCGAAAGGTCGACGCCTTGCGCGGTATTACGATCAAGCCCGTCCATCTTGGGCCTAGTGCTTTCATCCGTCCTGACACAACAGGATACGTTCCATCTCTTGTTGACACACTAAGCAGACTATCGGCCAAGAAGACGAAAAAGGGCCTCGCTGCCACGTTGTGCAATTGTATGGGGAAAGCCACTCTCTCGGCAGAGCATGACTTTATGCAAAACACTCTTCGGATTCTCGCCGAATCTAGAATCCACGCTGAAGTCCAAATATTAGTGTATTTGAAGAACCTACCTCCCAATGAGCTCTCTACCACCAGAGTGATTCAGTCGATGAAGAAAGCCTGCTTTTTATGCAACGAAATATTGGCACTCAATAGGAGCCCCAGCGTTCCAAAGAGTCATGGACGCCTATATTCGGGGTGGAGACTGCCCGCACTGCCGGGCTTGAAGCACCTTCAGCTCCAGCTCAATGAGTCACTCCAGCGACATGCTTGTAAAAGTATTGAGAGGGTGTTGCAGAAGAAGCAGATGATGGCCCTAGTCCACCCTATTGAGAGCACTGCCCTAACAGTATCGGAGGTCACAGTCACAGAGGCAGAGACTTTAAATGCTGCCGAGACATCCTCTGAGCCTGGGGCGTTGGCACAAGGTCAAGGCCGCAAAATTATGCTAGATCCTGCTGAAGATGATGCTACAGACGCATCATCTGCTTTATCTGAGGCGGGTTTGGTCACAATGGCGATGACAACTTCCCCCAGAGACACACCAAGCAGCATTTCTCAAGACGACACAAACAGCCGTCAGGATCAGCAGCCCTCATTTTACTTGTGCCCTGGAGATACGTCCTTGATCCACAAATTCGGGGAATCGGAAATGTCGATTGAGTATGCTGTGGCCCCAGATCATCCAAAATCAGGCATTCCACTAGTGTATCACATCAGGCAACTAGACGAGAAAAACGTCGGCACATTGAAGAGCCAGCAGACGTGTTTCTTTGACGTCATGTCCCTTGACAAAGGTTCTGAAGCCACACTACCGGGAAATTCACCTTTCTATATCAATATGAACGATATTGTCGTCGAGTTGACTTTTCACGGTCGCGACACGTAGTGTCTCGGTGCCAATCTTTCTTCCTCTGGCTGCAGGTGGGAATATTACCTCTGTTTCGCTTTGTGTACCGCGCATCGGCCAGTAGAAAGGGCTTTTCAAGATTGGGATCAAGCTGGCCTTTGTTACCTGCTAGAAATTATGCTCCTCTTAAGAATTTTGAGTGGTTGATTCTGCCCTTGGCAAAAGGAAGCGACCTACGCACGTTATATTTCGTTGAACGATTCTATATCAACTTCCCCTTGACAAGGCTTCAAGGGTTGTTGACTTCTGCATAACACACGATCGGGCCACGTAACTGGTTTTGAGCTTGGGCCACGACATGCAGCAGATGGAATGGATGAAAGCTCTTCAGGCCGTTATTATGATGAGTCGACCTTATTCAGGTAAATCATTGTCAAACCAGACCTTTGGCTGTAGATGCTTTTGTAGCTATCAATGAAAAAGCCCCACTTGCTTCATCACCGTGAATGTTACGTCTTTAGGGGTGTGGTATGGTTATCTGGCTTGGTTCTTCCGCATAACTGTGTTTTCTGGACGGGGAAGATCTGGTTTTGGCATGTCCTTGTGACTGTGTTATACTTAGCAAGTACAGGCTTTTGAAGATAATGGAATATGCCGAGTCCTCTTCGATGTACTGCGGCTGGCGCAAATATTGGGGTTGTGACTCCCTGTCGGGAGGCACTTCCGGAGCCAAGGAGCAGGGCGTTGGAGAGGTAGTCTTGGAGTTTTCGATACCCCGGGCCGTATAGACGGGGGCTACGAAGAGCCAGACTTCAGATGTATTCCAATCATCTGCTTGGTCATTACATAATTGTGAATAACACCTGTAGAAGACCCCCTCACACTGCGCATCCCACTGCTGTGACAGCAGGACCAAAACTTGCCTTCCTGAAAGGATAAAATCAAGACTTTATTATCAAAGATATGCAGCAGCTAGCCTGTTTCACTACTCACCGAACGCGACACTATGTAGTCTCCCTGTCCTTTTAGTTTTAATGGAAAAATGATCAAAAATGCAGCCTTTGTGAATCTGGGGAGGGAAGCATATTAGATTGAACGTTCAATCACATCTACTAGCAAGGCTGTCTTCTTTACTCTGACTTTCCCATAGCGAAGGATGTTAAACTTTCAGCAAGGGTAAAAGGCTCCGACTAATACGCCAATGATGACCCTAGCCAGCACTGGCGCATTAGGGGAAACAGATCGCAGGTCTCCGCAGTCGCTGTCATCGAGATTCGCACGGAACCTTCCGTGAGATCTGTTTCGAAAAAAGCCTTCGGCTCTGCTACTTGACTCGACGGTTGTATTGAACGAAGTCAGGTGATTGGACATCGTTTTCATTTTACCTGGCGTTTTAGGTTTCTCGTTCCCGGAAAGGATCAGCAGAGCAGTAGTGGCTCAGAAACACGACGCACGTGCTTGTCTAGACGCTACTGAACTCCAGGAATCGAGCCGCGATGCACCTATTCTTAAGACGGCCTGCCTTCCAGTGGCTTGATCCAAGCCGAATCCTAGCAAACAGGTGGATAATGCCACAAATCCAGCCTGCCAAACTCTTCAAAATGAGCGGTTAAGCTGACATGAGCGATGTTACTCACAAGCTCGTAAGTTCAGAGTCGCCAGAGCAAGTTGATCATCGAGTCATTTCTGCTAGAAAGTGGAACTCAGTGTCTTTGATTGCGTTCGCGAGGATGGCATTGGGCTTTCAGGGATTCAGCCTGGGTCAAAGAGAGTGTATATATAGCCCTCCCACGGCGTGTAAACTCTTGTTCTACTTCCATCATCAAGAAAGTCGGATACACTAGAACCAGACACTAGCCTCTCCAAATTAGTTGAACGTCATGCAAGGACCTTGGATACTACTGGCCCTGGCTGCCACCGCAATGGCCAGCCCAGCCCTTGATAAAGGTATGGTTATCCTCCAGCATATCATACATCGCCATGCTGACTGGAAAAGATCAGCGGGCAGATACCTGCAAGAAGTTTCAGATATGGGCTTCGCCCATGACACCCGGGTTTGCACCTCGATGGGCGGGCTCGGCCGTATGCTGTTGTGCATACGACAAGTGCCAATTGACCGCCGGCTCGCTCATCGTTGCCAAGGCTACTCTGAACCGATTTGGGACGGGGACATTCGTCATGACCAATGGACAGGTTACACAAAATGACCATGTGGAGCGAGGGAAAATCGATTACTCGGTGGGCGTCCAGGGTGCTTGCAGCCCGGATCACTTCGGCTGAGGAATGTCTCCAAGCAGTATGGCGGTGGCTATATGAACATGGCACAAATCTCTATCGACAGGTTTTTTACTTTCTCGGGAAATACCTCGCTATAGTGTGGGAAAGACCATATAACATTTTGGATATATATAATAATCTTGATATATATATTGACTGCTTGCCAAGCCCTGTATGGCTGATGGCGGTGTGACGCACGGAACATCGTGATAAGGAGTTGAGGTGAGTTCGTTGCCTCACGACTCTCCGTCTTAACGCAGCGTCAAACTCTCGTCTGATGAGTTCATCATGATTCGGTCATTCGAAATGTCCTTCCCGGTATTTTCGTGCCATTCCCCCTCGCTCCTGATGATGCTTGACGGAATCCTGTGATCTGTACTTGAAGGCAGAGAACAAACACCCAAATGTCGTGAGCTCACAGCCCCTCGGCCAGTTCATGAATAATTCTTCTTGCTCCTTCCCTTGCCTCGGTGACAACCTCACTCGCAGGCTTTATATCCTTGACGAGCCCGACGCCCGCGCCTGCCCATTTGCCCACCATGAATTTCGCCTCCTCCTCGCTCCACCCAGTCTTGAGTCTCTCGCGGCTCTCTTCCACCGTCACGCCACCCTTCATGTGCTCCCGATGGATATCACCAACGATGGCACGCCCATCAAAGCCGGGCTTCCACAGACCATTCGCCGCCAGTCGGTCATGGAAGGGCGTCTTCCAGGTACTGACGCCCCCGTCCGTCGTCTTGACGACGAGCGCCTTGTACTCGTCAGCAAATCCGGCCTCAGGCGTCGCGATGAACCGCGTCCCCATGACGACGCCCTCAGCCCCCAGCGCCACGGCAGCCGCAACACCGCTCGCTTCGACGATACCGCCCGCCGCCACGACGGCGACGTGCCGGTCGGGGAACTCATTCGCCAGCAGGGCGCGCACCTCGGGCAGCAGCGCCACGACACCGCAGCCGCGCTCAAACTGATGGCCGCCGGCATCCACACCCTGGGCGACCAGCACGTCGGCGCCATCCTGCACAGCCTCCCGCGCGGCAGACACGTTGCCGACCTGGACAAAGACGCGGATCTCGGCCCCGTGCAGCGCCGCGATGATGGCCGCGTGCGGCTTCGTCTCGGGGTGAGGCGCGAACAGCCAGGCAGCGGCTACGCGGTGGCGCGTCAGGATGGGCAGCGCATGGGCGGCAAACTGCGGCGCCGTCTCGTGGGCCGTGATGAAACCGACGCCCAGCGGCAGTGGCGCGGTCGGCGGCAGGTTCAGGCGGACGCGGGCTTCGGTGAGGCCGTTGGCGAGGTCTTTGAGCTGGCCCGTTTCGGCCGAGGCGGCGGACAGGTCGAAGCCTGCGCCGATGAAACCTATGCCGCCGGCTTTTGTGACCTCGGTGGCGAGGGCGGCGTTAGCGGTGATCATCATGGGCGCGTTGATGATGATGGGAGACCTGGCGTGGGGGAACCAGGGGAAGAGCTTTGAGGGCGCCATGGTACGTTGATGTGATGGCAGATCTCTGTGTGCCTACGACGGGGAGGAATGAGGTGGATGATTCTGGTTTGAACGTGATGACTTGGGAAGTTGTCTCTGGTCTTGGGACGCTCGGAGTCGAACTTCAGTAAGATGATGGAAGCGGGGAAACAGAACCTCGGATATAAAGTGAAGAACCAAGGCGCTGAGTCAGGCTTCGTAGACGAATTCATGGCCAGTAACATGAGGGCACCTGGACCGAATCGGACATGCGGGGCCGATCGACAGGAGACACCAGCATCTTTAGAGTTGCAGGGGGCTTATGAAGTGAAGTTCACCCATGCGGTAACTAAATGTTCGATCTTTAAGCATTTACAAGTTTTAATCACACAGTGAGTGCATCCCTTGACATATTAGGGCAGAAATGATTTTTGGATTTCATTCCCAATAGTCCATGTCAGGCCTGTGTGTAATTCAGAGCTTCGTAGGCAATCTTGTCCGGTGAACTGGTTTCATCAAACGTAGTACACAAAAAAGCTATAGCCTTTCTTCAAGATGCCCATGCGGCAGATGTAGACCTTGTAACTCATTTTACAGCAGCACGCACATCCAACGCAAGGTGGCCCTTTCTCACATCTTCTTTGAGCAAGGCAGCGATCTCTCACGACGACTAAGCGACGACTCAGCAAAACCTCTGCGGGTCTAATATCCATGTATTGCCCTTCTACAGATATTTCCTTCCTACGACCTTTATTTCCTCTCGTCAGCTCTTTCACCCCTTACTAAAAGCTAACACAACTCTCCCCACGACAGTACCCAGCAGCAATGGCTTCCAATCAGGCCACCGTCAGCGACGAGCTCGAGAACTCTTTTTGTCTTGCTGACTCTCCCGGACAACTTCCTGAGTCTCTCCAGCAGCTCTTGGAGTCTTCCCATCCGCCCTTTGAGTCCCTTCAGCAGTCCCCCCAGTCTAGCCAGCAGTTCCTTGATGCTCCCGAGCTTCCTGAGGCCGCCCATTGCCCTGAGTCTCTCAAGCAATCTGCCGAGGTAGCCGAGCCCATCTGCATCATCACCAAAGCCGCCACCAAGACCTACCACAAGCGCCAGAAACCCGTTCGCCAGACCCGTAAGCAGAAATTCGTCGCCGCCAAGAATCGCCACGGCGAGGCCGCCCGCGAGCGCAAGAACGGCACTCGCTTCCACGTCACGCCCCTGAGTGAGCATCCCCACCACCCCTCCGAAGAATGCCCCAAGGTAGCCTCCTGCTTATAGTGACGTCCCCAACAGGCCTGAAGCAAAAGTTCCCGCCCACCTTCAACGAGGACTACGCCGTCGGTCTCTGGGACGCTGACCGCAACCCCCGCAAGCTGGGCTTCAGCAACAAGAACTGGCGCGTCTATCTGTCCAGCATGCCCCTCATCAAGCTCCGCAAGGGTACGTTTGCACTTTCCACCCCGCCTCCTTACTCCAAGTTAAGGTTAGCTAACCGTGCAAAAGAGAAGGAGGCCGAGGAGGAGGCCGAGAAGCAATTGGAGGCGGCCGAGGAGGAGGCCAGAATGCATGAGTTCGCTGTCACTCTTCTTGGTCTTTAGGCAGCGGCGTTCGTCCGTGTTTACGGAAGTCGAGCTACTAGTAGCTGCACTGTTCTATCGTTCTTGAAGAAGCAGAGGGAATGCGCTTGCTCTTTCTGAACCCATCACTGCGCGTCCTAGGGAGAATAAATATATGGGAAGATGGCTTGCCCTTCGTCGCCATGATTCTACGTTGCCTGCGTTCCGCACTAGTTGTACACACAGTCCTTGATTTACAAATGTTCATGCTAACCTTAACGTACTTAACACTCGGCTGCAGCATCGAACATAGTGAAGCAGATCATCACCTTTCGCATTCAGGGTCTTATTTTAGATGTTTTAAACAAACCCAATGTCCCCCAAGTCCAACATGTTCGCGTAGCATAAACCGGCCTCTACCATCATTAAGCAGCGCGCAGCATCGCAAGGACACCCGCCCAGGTCTCCCGAACGGTGGGCTGGATCTGGCTGGCAGGCAGAGAGAAGCCGTTGGTGCCCTTGTCGCGGAGCTCAAGTGTGTACGTGTAGGTCGACTTGGCGACACCGTGGAGGTAGTCGGTGCTGTCGCCGGTGGTGGCATACAGCGCGCGGCAGGCGTTTCCGATGGTGTAGGCAGTTCCAGAGACGGCGCGGATGGCGCTGGCGCCGCGGGAGGCCATGGCGGACAGGGCCGAGTCGTCGGGAGCGACGACGGAGCAGCTGTAGCCGAAGGCTGTAGCACATGTCAGCAGTAGATCTCGACGTTTCGGGTGTGAGGCTCCAGCGCAGCTCGTGCACTACACTTACGCCAGAGGATGTACTGTCCGTACGAGTGGAAGTCGATGTAGAACCTGATGCCACGGCCGGCGGCGAGCGTGTCGACCTGGGCCTTGGCACCCCGAATCTCGGGGGCATCGGCGGCAGCGCGGCCCTTGAAGGTCTCAGAGCAGGGGTCGGTCGAGGCGCCGCCGGTGACCTCCCACTTGTAGGGCCAGTTGCGGTTGGGGTCGCGGCCGACGCAGGAGCTTCCGCTCAGGGTCTGGCGGTTCTTGCGCCACAGGCGGTTGGTGGTCTGGGTGTAGACGAAACCTGCTTCGCATTAGACTGATTCTCTGCTGATCGCTTCTTGCTGCAGTAGACTGACCGTCGGGGTTCAGGACGGGGATGATGTAGTAGTCGAACTTGTCGACGGCGGCCTTGACGCCGGTGTCGGTGGCGTACTTGGTCAGCAGCTGGTAGGCCATATACTCGGTGGTCTAATGAAAAACAGTCAATAACGTGCAGGAGAAGCCTTGGCATGGCAGAGCCTACCATCGTGCTGATCCACTCGCGAGCGTGAACGGTGCCATGGAAGATGACGGCCGGCTTGGAGCCCTTGCCGCCGCTGCCCCAGATGTGAATGCCCGTCAGAGCGCGGCCCTGGAACGAGGAGCCGGTGGTGAAGATCTCCGACTGCGTGGGGAAGCTAGACTGGAGGTCGTTGAGGAAGGTCAGGTGGTCGGCATAGCTGTGGTAGGTCGTGAACCACGTCTCGCTGGGGACTGCGCCAAGCATCAGCAACCATATCCATCGGGTGAATTGAGCGACCGAGTCCTACCAGCATAGAGGGACGCCGTGTCCTCCTCAGCGAAAGCAGCGCCAATATCTTCGACGAGGATGGTGGTGTTGGTGGCGAGGCGCGAGACGGCGTCTACGTTTTCGGGCGACACGACAATGTCGAGGGCCTCGTGAGAGCCAGGGTTCAGGACGCTGGCAGCGAGCTTGCTGATCTGGTGCCTCGCCTCCTGATCATCTTCAGGCAGATTCACGCGAATGCCCTTGAAGCCGGTGTAGTCGACCTTCTTTGGCTTGGGGAGGGCTGCGCCGAAAGCCAGAGGCAGGAGGGCGAGGGCGGACAGGACAGAGGCCTTCATGGTGGCGACGAGACGAGACGAGACAGGACAAGATGGTTGATTTCTTGGTGGCGACAACTAGATCTGCTCTCGCTGTGAAAACGCCGAAGTCAGCTGCTTTATAGCGTTGAGAAGGGTGGCCGATGGCGTTCAGCTCAGATGTCGTGCCTCCAACGACAACCTAATCGTCGAGCGGGATATTTGGGTTCAGCATCCAGGTGCCGCGGGCATCACATCGCAATGCGGCAGGTGTTTAGAGCCAGGCCGGGAGCTAACCTGTGCGGTGCAACAGTGGTCGCAGGTGATCTTGCCAAGGGCGGAAGCTCCCTAGTCACACCATCGCGTCTTGCCCAAAGAGGCAGCTCACGAGCTTAATCGCCGGCAGTTCGCTGCCGGTCGATCCCCTGATTGTCGAGTGCCTGGAGCACCCGGAACACCCAGCGCCTACTGCTCCATCCTGTGGGGGAAGGCGCTACAGATGTTCTGGTCTTCTTCGATTGCATGGCATCATGAGGGGCCGTCCCTCGGCCTCTGGCAGTTGCATCGCGACATGTGCACCAGGCCGGGCGCTTGCTGCACGCTGCCTCTATCTCTGGAGTTGCATCAGATGCTGCTGTCCGCCTCAAAGGACGTGGGGAGATCTTTTGATTCGTCATGCGTGCGACTGCAATGTGGAATGACTTGCCTTTTCAGGCCTCGGATCCTTTTCCCTGGTTGAGCCCTGAAGTTCGGTGATGCCCGCAATGATGCCCGCAATCAGCGCAACGGCTTTGACGACCCTTTTAAGAGTACTGTTGATAATGTGTCCGATTTCAAGTTCTTCAGATGTCTTTGCCTTTCAAATTCAAAGGCCGCCGCTCAAATGCCCTGTCCAGGTTTGAAAGCGCACTGGTAGAAAGTGGGCAGAGGCAAGCCCAGTCGCTAAAGATGTTGCGTGGGTTTTCTCCATTTACACACTGGGACTCGTGAGTTTGAGCAAACTGGACTCTTTATCGTCGTATCAAGGCAACTCATTTCTCGTCACCTCTCCAGATGTTTTCATGCTCTGGAATATGCTCGTGCATCCCCTGACAGTAGCTATCTTTGACAGGCATTTGGCTATTGAGCATCTGCCTGTTGAAGCCACGACGACTTGCTTTATTTAACGTGTACTCCCTTACATATTCATGCCAAAGGACACGATGGTTTATCCCCAAAGAACATCTGAGCGAAGGCCGCGTGATCAAAGGTCATCCAACGAAAAGGTAGCATCCTGCCAAGCCGTGTCAGCTTCCCACCCCAGGTATCCGACAATCAAACGTGCCGCAATAATACACGTGCATATGATTTGATCGTTCGCATTCATCACGCCTGCGGGAGCTACTCGTCAGATCTTCCATGTTTAGCCGGAATATGCGAGTAAGCTGCAGATTGTCTGACTTATTTGCTGTGTTCAGTCTCTTTCGTATGAGATCCCAATCTTTGAGGTCATCTCCATGCACGCGATCCTTCCTCGCTTGGGTCGTTTGTCCAAGGTTGCAATATCGTATTTCTGTACATTAAGTGCCCTCAAGATGGCATTCACGGAGTGTCGAGTACCGTCATGGTGGAAGTGATGATGGATTCAAGGTGTCTGCCTCCAGATGACGCGATCATCTTGATCTCTCCATGCCATAGAGAGTTGTTAAATAGGCACGACTGCCAATGTCTGCGACTGACGAAAGCATCCATCACATCTAGCACCAGAGACAAGTACTGTTCAAAACATGAAGCCCCTCGGATTCATCGCTACTCTTGCTGCGCTCGCATCAGCTGTGCCACAGCCCCTTCAACACAGCTCTGAAGCACCAAGTAGCGACCGCCTCAGCAAGCGGGCCACTCTCTGCGGACCGCAAGAGTACCTTGAAACATTCTGGTTCCTTGTCAAGAATGGAATCTCGGAAGCAGCCCCTGACGACGGCTCCCAGTGCATTACTGTCGTGGGTCAATTCGACTCGCTGCTAAGGTGGTCCACGTCCTTCACGTGGAGCGGCGCCTCATCGACGCCCAGATCCTACTCGCGTGCCGATCGCGGGAGGTTCCAAGTAACCTCTTTGTTCGAATATCATTCCCTTGCGACCAACTGGAAGTGGAGGCAAGTGACGATACGCGAAATGTACATTCTGGTCCCCTTGACTCACAG